TGTATGTATTTACAAATTTAAAATCTTCAGTAACAGACTCATGACTTTGATCCTTTATTACTGCATCCAACCAAACCTTCTTCTTTACTGGAGAACAGGACAGAATCAAACTTTACAAGACCTGCCCTAATGGCAACTGGAGCTGCTAAGGAAACCAATGCCATCTCCCAAACAAAACTGGGCAGGGTTGGGATATCAGCATCACACTCTAGCCCAGCAGAAATACCACATATAGTACATTAGCCTCGGAAGGATTAGTCCCTGCAAAAAGATACATGGTCGGAACATGTTTAAAAACAGACATGAAAAGAGAAAAAAAATTCAGTATTACATCTAGAAAACTATGCTAGTAAGAAAATACTCCACAGATGTGATGAGAAATTTCTGATGTCATCAAGAAAGTTGCAGCAAAAATGGTGAACAGGATATTTCTAGCATCCTATTATGCTAAACTAACTCAAGCCCTAATCTAAGTATTGAATTAAATGCCTTGGGACAGCAGCACTACAGTAATAATTGAGAAATTCCCTTATTATTTAAAATACAAAAGTTACCATAACCTGAAGTTGCAAATGCTTCCAAGTACAGCAAAACTAGATTTACTTTATTTTTTATATGCAAAATAATTAGAAGACTGTAAGTTACACCTATTTTCTCTGGTTTTACCTTGTACTTGAGCCTTCAATGTACTTATTTTAATACAAAAAAAAAAAACCTGATACAATTTTGTGAAAGAAGAGTGAAAGGTTACTCTTGTATGATCCTGTTAAGAAAACCGTGCAATTGTTCAATAGAGTGACATGAAGAAGAAAGGCAGGTTTAAAATAGCAAAAATATTGCATCTTATTCTTCTGTTTACTAATACACATTTTGAACATTACAATTAAGAGACAATATATTTAGTGGCAGATGATTACTCTGTACTTCCCACAGTTACAATGCATTGGGGGTTTCACAAACTTTGAAGTTGGCCTGCAGAAATGTGCACATGAATCTTTCTGTGTGGTAACACATATACATAAGTAACTCAGGTGAAGACAGAGGTATTAAATTATCTGTGGAATTACACAGACAATTTAATACAACTTGAAGTATGGTGCTAGTAACACCAGGATCACAGTCTCTGTCCCTGTATTCACTTAGGAGTTGGACTCAATCCTTGTGGGTCCCTTCCAATACAGAATGTTCTGTGAAAAACTAAAATTGAGTTGAATTGAAGAGCTGGAGCCACTACATAGGACAAAATTCAGAAGGCAAAGCTTGAACTAGAGCTAGAAGTATCACATTTGTAAAACACTACTGTTCTTTAATTCTCCCAGTGAAAATAAAATTTGCATGATTCCACGGAGTACCAGGATACTACTAAGCCTCCAGGAAAGGGAAATGTGAGGGTTCTCTTTTGGGACTTTCTTAGTAGCCCCCGATCATCTCTCTTCAGGAAAAAAGCTCCCTCTGGAGAATTTCAGCTCACGGCAGAGACTGCAAATCAAGACAACATGTGGACTACCCCTTCCTTCAGGACATGGAGATAACCTCTGTGAGTGCTGAGACTCCCTGATCAAGGGTCTGGTAGTGACAGACACAGCCCAGTCTTCTTGCCCTCCAAGAAAGAAACACTGCAAGCAGCTTTCCTTCTGCTCCAGCAGGGAAGATTAGGACATGCCATAACAGAGGAAAGCAGAAGGCTGCACCAAGACTAATAAAAGTATGGCAATGATAACCAGCCAGTAAAGTTGGTATAATTGAGCAATCTTTTAGTCAGACTGCTATCATCTCCTTATTGGCTTGCACAAGAGGCTTCTATGACAGCATCCATGCAATTTAATCATTCCACTGCTTAAGGCTGAGATTTTAAATTAAATCTCAGGTGTAAACAGAGATATAAAGACGCCAGTAAACAGCTTAAAAAAAAAATCAAACAACAAAACCATAAATCACTGACCAACCAAAAAACAACCTTTACCCAGGGGGTGGAAGTGAACTGTGAAATAAGTGCAGAAAGCCATCTCACAAACACAAAAGTAGTCACTCGAAAGAAGCACTGTGCTCGTGAAGAACTCACTGGAAATGGCCTCCAGCAAGATCCACACAGTTACAGAATCATAGAATGGCTTGGACTGGAAAGGACCTTAAAGATTATCTTGTTCCAACCTGCCTGCCACGGGCAGGGACACCTTCCACTGTAACAGGTTGTCCAGAGATCCATCCAACCTGATCTTGAACATCTCAGACGGGGCATGCACAGCTTGTCTGGGCAACATTTCCAACCTAAAGCACCCTCCCCTTCAATCTGAATCCATTCCCCTTGTCCTGTCACTACATGCCCTTGCAAGAAGTTCCCCTCCAGATTTCTTGCAGGCTCCCTTCAGGTACTGGAAGCCTGTCATAAGGCCAACTCGGTCACAAGTCAAGCCGCGCCACTGCCTGGACAGCAACATTGCAGCCATTTGCCTAAATGGATAGCCCGGCACAGCTGCGCTATCGGGGCCAAAGGGCGACACCATCAAATGGGTGACACGGCAGCGCCCGGCGCTGGGGCAGCAGGCCGTGTGCCGGGCAGCTCAGCCCGCACCTCTGCGGGGGCTCCGCGGCGGACCGGGCCGGCAGCTGAGGAGAACCGAGGGGTGCCCCTTCCCGGCTGCTTCCCCAACCCCGGCAGCGGGAACCGCAGAGCCCTGCCGTGCCCTCCCTCTGACGGAGGGCAGAGCCGGGGCGGCGGGGCAGGAGGTGGCGGAACACCTCCGCTGCGCCGCCCGTCCGCCCTCAGCCCGACAGCACAGGGAGCGCCTTACCCGCCCGGCGCCGAACACGCAGGGGCCGCGCACCCCCCGCCGCCACAGCCGCGCCGCCACCGCCGCCATGTTCCCGGCCGCGCTCTGCGCCTGCTCGGCGGGGAGGAGCGGCGGGCAGCGGGGAACCGGCGAGACCGCCCCCGCCCCGGTGCTGCGAAACGTAAATATGTAAAAGTTTTCTTTAAAGAGGATGTTCTTTGATGTTTGATCCTTGATCTTTGTATACTTTCAAGCCTGATCAACACGAAAGGAGCAAACAAGCTCTGAGCGTTGTTCAGGTGAAAGATAAATTATTTGTTGGTGGATTTGCCTTGATAAGGCATAGGGCTTGACATGTTTCAGTGATCTCAGACCTAGAAAAAGATTAACAAAACTTGGGAAGAGGGATGTACTACTGACAGTGGACACAAAGAATTCACAATTTATGGGCTACAAGGACATTTGGCAAAATAGCCATAATAAACAAAAACTAATAAAGACAAGTCTGCAACATTGCTGAAATCAGCTCTGACTGGGTATTTCTGATGGGGGAGATTGCCCACTCACCCAACAGAGGAGAAAGACCGAGTATATGGTCTAAACAGCAGGAGAAGTGAGAGAATCACAAACCAATAGAAGATAGAATGCTAATTAGTAAGAGAACTAGGTAACTGGTAGCCAATGAACATGAATGACCTTTTTTGCTAAAATGTTTAAATAGCAAAAAGTTTTGGTGTCCTTGTGCTGGCCTTGTGGATTTGTCATCCAACACACTTTTCTGCACAGAACTGTAAATAAAACAAATGTGGATTGCCTCTTGCACACCAGATGAGAGAACCTATTTTGGAACAACACAGGGGCACCTTCTTGGCCACAGCCACTGCCCCGGTGCCCTCAGTTCCAGCTGTGGGAGTTGGAGAATGCTTGATTTATCTGTGTTGAGCACAGAGACTGACTGATGGAAAAAGTAATGACTGACTGATACCCACCCATTTGCACAGCCTTGGTAACCACAGAAACCTGCAGAGTCGTACCTACTCATAAGGAAGGGCAAGGGGTTGGAGGAGTAGCATGGTAGCTGTAAGAACCTACAGATTTAATAAAGCTTCAGGTTTTGATATAGTTGAATGAATCTACACAGTTACAAAACTTGGCATGAAAGACAACAAATCTATTAGTGGGTCTGTGCTATCAACTTTTGAGTTAATAATTCCAGGCAAACTGATTACACACCACTGTGGGAGTTCAGAGGAAGCAGAATTTAAATCCTATGGCTTAGTCATCATTGCCCTGTATAAAAATGGCAAAACAGCCATTTTCTCTACATGTTCAGCATTTAGGAAAAAAAAAATAAATTGATGCTCTGTCGGCACAGCAAGCTCTAGAGTAGGTAACATCTTCATAAGTTCAACACACAGTCTGGCAGGCATTGAAGCAACAGTGCCACACTGCTGGGCAGTAGTTGCCACATTTGTCATTAAAGCAGCACATGGGAAATATTTGGTAAGAGTTTGTTAGAGAGTTGCTCTAAGACTTGCATAGTAAAATGCCATTATAAGCAGTTAATTCAACCACACTGAGTCTCAAGGCATCTGTAACCATTGGACAGAAAAACAAAACAAAACTGCAAAAATAAACAAACAACCCCAAGAAATAAACTACCAAAAAAAAAAAAAAAAAAAAAAAAAAAAAAAAAAAAAAAAAAAAAAAAAAAAAAAAAAAAGAGACACAGAGTGCATATAGTTCAAGGGAAGCTTTTACATTGCCAAATACTACAGAATTTAGGAAGCTTCACCCGAACAGCTAGCAAGAGGAAAGAAACTACAAACCACACAGCGGAATATACAAATGTGCCAAAATCTACCTGTGAAATAATCATTGTATTTCCATGAAATACAATGAAAGTGAAAGTGAACACGATGATATGACTGAATGTATTAGTTTTCCTTGGCCTGGCTTGGGGGGGGGGGGGGGGGGGGGGGGGGGGGGGGAAGGCCACAGAGGTGGCTACTGTGAGACGCCAGCCCCCATCCACGCTGACCCGGGGCGAAGGGGACCGGCTGCGACACGGGCACAGGCGAGATCCGCGGGACGGCCCCGGCCCCGGCCCCGGCCCCGGCCCCGGCCCCGGCCCGCGCAGGCGCGCCGGCCCACGGCTGCCGAGGTCGCGCGAGGCCGGTAGGTAGCGCTCTCGGTCGCGTCCCGCCCCTTATTCCGGCCCGGCGCGCGGGATCGTGGTGGCGGTGGAAGATCCCGGGATTTTCTCTCCCCAGCCCTGTCTTGTCCGGGTCGCCGGGGGCTGCCGGGCGGAGCTCCAGGATGTGGAAACTGGTGCCCGCCTCGGGAAAAGGTGAGGGAACGCCCGAGGGCTCCGTCGCTCCGGCGGGCTGGGCCCGGGCACCGCGGGCCGCTCCCCGCCCCGTGCGGCGGCTGCGCGGCTCCCCGGGCGTGCCGGGCTGCCGGCTGCCGCAGGGCCGGCTCCAGCCGGGCGTGCTTGTCCGCGCTGCCTCGGGCCCGTGGTGACCTAAGTCCTGGTCGTTCGTCCGCGGCGAAGCCTCCATATTTTCCTGGAGCACTGCCGGCCACAGCTCCTGTTAAACCTGTTAGGACTTCTTTTCGATCCTGTGTGGGATGTCTTATGGTGCTGCAGGTTACAGAGTCCTGCTTTGTAATACCTGGAGAGTTGAACTCTGAGGCAGCAACTTCAGAAACGATGTGTAGCGACCAAGTGTTGAACTTTGAAACTAGATTGCCTCTATACTTTTCTTTGTTTTCTTGTCTATAGGAGCTTTAATAATAGGTATCATATATATATTTCTTCCTAAGTTCTTGTAAGGAACAGACTTAACACAACTGCATCTGCTCTGTTTCCTGGTTCATTGGGAGGAGATTTTGGATGTTTGATTTATATCCTGGTACACACCTAATATATATCCTAATTTATATCCTGATACAGCACCTAAGAGCTGATCTACCTCTTACTGCCTGGAAAACTCTTGAGTGCATCAAAACACTCTTCATTCTGTTCAGAATGATCATTTCTGCACAGTTCAGGGTTAGGAGGTTATTTGCCATGCTTGATAACTGGAATCCATCTTCATGTATTCATTTTCATCAAGAAACATTTTTGTTTCTGTTGACCAGTGGTAGCACACCTTTGGGAGAGAGTCAAGCCATTCACTGGGAAGCCACCATGGGGTCCAGGTGGCAGGTACAAAGCATAAGCTAAAGCATAAGCATTGGTTAGAGGCTGAACTTAGTAAGTACTAATTTGATTTACATGAAGATCTCCTTACATTCATTAGGAGGACATTTTCCTCTCAATCTCTTAATTAGTTATGTGAATAAACAATATAACCTCAAAAAATTACCTACCCTTATAAAGGTGTTTTAGAAAACCTATCTTACATTGTGGGTTTGTTTTTTTTTTTTCTTCCAGATGTTAATCTTCAAGAAGGTATTGGTAAAAATATATTGTCCTTAAAAAAATTGTGCTGCCACTTTTGAAACTGATTTGTTTATCGTAAAATGTATCCTTTTGTAATGGACAGAGCAAGGGAGCAAGAAAGAAAGAAAGAGGTTTTGTCTGTAAGCTAAATGGATAATTCTAATCAGAATCACAGAATTCAGAGTCACAGAATATTCTAAGCTGGAAGGATCATTGAGTCCATTTCTTAAGTGAATGGCACACATGGGGATAAAACCCACAACCTTGGCATTGTTGGCATCCTGCTCTGAGCATAAATGACGCATGGCAAAGCTGAGATTTAGAGGTACTACAAACTTCTCAGTTTCTCTCCCATGTACTTCATGTATTTTGGTGTTTTTTTCTAAATTGGTATTTTTCTGTCCCTTGGTTATTTCCAGGAGAACCGTATCGGCTTTTAAGCGGTGTAGAATATGTTGTTGGACGCAGAAACTGCACAATTCTCCTTCAGGACGATCAGTCTATCAGTCGAAGTCACGCAGTTCTGACTGTAAGTCGGCCTGAAACAAGCCCTGTAAGTAGCCACCATTTTACTGCATTATCAATGCACTGTGGGGATAATTCGGGCTGCCGTGACCATGCATACTCTCATTTTGCTCTCACCAATTTTATGCTTGGAGTAGAACCATTGATCACCTGTCTTTTTTTTTTTTCATCTTGAATTTTTTTTCCCCCTTAGGTTTGTTTGCTTTCGTTGGGGAATTTTGTGACATAATTTTAGTAGCTTCCTTTTATCCAGAGTGAAGATTCACTAGGAATTTGTATTAAAATAATCATGGCAGGAAAATGATGCAGTTAGGTTTCATTACACAGACAAATTTTCAGTTCTGGGAAGTGCTTCAGTTGTTTTACTGCAGACTTAGTGTCTGTTTCATTTCATATCATTAATGATGTATTTGCTTAGGGCATGGAAAAGGAAAATGTACCAAGGAGAATTAGCAATCAGCAATTTACTAAGTGTTGTGACAGTTATTAATGTTTTGAAGCAGTCAGCGAAAATTTAGTTTATGTAACCTTACGTAGTGTTTAAAATAAAACATGTAAAATATATTTGTCCCTTTAATACTGCAAATACTGAATGAGTCCAGCGGAGGGCTGTGAAGATAATGAGGGGACAGGAGCACCTCAGTTGTGGGGAAAGGCTGAGGGATCTGGGCCTGTTCAGCCTTGAGAAGAGACAGCTGAGAAGGGACCTCATTTGTCATTGGTGTCTGTCATTAGCTGGGAGGGTGTCAAGGGGATGGAGCCAGGCTCTTCTTGGTGTGTCAAACAGTAGGACAAGAGACCATGACAGAAACTGGAACACAGAAAGTTCCACGTGAACATGAGTAAGAACTTCACTGTGAGAATGACTCAGCACTGGAACAGAGTGCCCAGAGAGGTTATGGAGTCACTATCTCTGGATACTCCAAAGGAGCCTGGAGACAATCCCAAGCAGGTTTCTGTAAGGAAACCTGCTTCAATAGGCAGGTTGAATTAGATCACCTCCAGTGGTCCCTTCACACCTTTTCCATTCTGTGTAGCAGCATATAACTGCATGGCAGAATTTCATAAAAACGAGCTGTCATTGTTGTCATTGGCTTGTGAGCCACTTTGGAAATCTGACAGTATCTAACATCTTCTCAAGAGATGCTGGAGTCTCCATGTCCTGGAGTTTGGGGAAGACTAGCATTCCTCATGGAAGGAAGCATTAGAAAGTACCCTCAGGTGACCTTAGGCTTTTACTTCAATGCCCAGGATAGAACTGAGTGGTAGTAAAAATGTAATAAATCTCAGAGCCTTGCTAAATTGCACTAGCTCAGGCCAATGAATGACTGCCACGCATGGTCTCCAGAAAGATGAAGTGAAAGACTAAGTGTAAGAAGCACAGAAGTTCTAAAGCTAAAAACATGTATATTTTCTCTTATTCCTCTACAGTGAAAAACAGAAGATAAATAATTACTTATAGCAAGCCTCATTGTCCAAAGCCTTTATTTAAGATGATATTTTGTGGGCTGCTTCTTATTTATCCATTGCTTTGATTCACAATGATAGTAACTTGTTTCTGATAAAGCTGTTTCATTCTGATAAACTATAATGGCTTATTTATGTTTATTTTCAGAGTCAGTGTCTCTCAGTACCTATATTAACAGTAAGAGATACATCCAAGTATGGCACTTTTGTTAATGGATCAAAACTCAATGGTGCTTCAGTGTCTTTGCAGTCAGGTGACAGAATCAACTTTGGAGTCTTTGAGAGCAAGTTTAGGTAAGTGTTTTGATTATAAAATATCAAGTTAAAAATTAATTTTTAGAAGAGTATTTTAGCACATCATGCAACTTTGCAAGTGGTACAGCAATGATTAATTTTTAGACAGCAAAAGAGGTAAGTAGTATTTTGGCTGTGTTCCACACCTGCTTCTGAAATATCTTCCATTATATTTTTACATAATTTATTTTGTCACTAGGAGATTAAAATTGTAGATAGGAAAACATTGGCATTTTAGAAGATAATATGTCATGTACAGTGAGTATTTTCAGGCTCTTTTAGGCAAAGAACAAAATCCTACACCAAATGAGAAAAAGGGAGACAGGTTTAGAGTTTGTTGGAGCCTTTGTTAGTTGTTCATAATGTAATGAGAAAAGAACTGACGTTGCTGGAGGATGTGAAGCCAGCTTGATATTTTTTTCCAAATTTTACATGGTAGTGTTGTTTATTTATAGGAAGCACTTCTAGAAATGAAGTAGCAGATAAATAGAAAAAGTCTAATGACCATTAAAATCAATGTTAAAGTAACCAGAAGGTAGCTTTGTGCCTTAAAGTTTTATTCAGTTTTATCAAGGCTGCTGTTACTATTTATTGTTAGAAAAAACTTGGCATTCTCCTCCAATTTCTACAATAATATTTTTTTTTAATATTTTAGGTAAACATACCTGAAACATGATACAGGAATCATACCATGAGACCAGTTACATCATGGCTGTTGTATTAGAAAGTCTACAAAGTAGAAAGAAATTTAAATAATCTAAATATGAAATAATATAATTTGATATGGAAGATCTAAAATATATATAAAGGCTTATGGTCAAGGATAATGGAAATGCTAGGAAACTTACTTGAAATTGCATTTTATGACACTTGTATTTCTAAGTATTGATCTGTCCTATTGAACATACTTTAGCTTTTGGAGGCACACACTCAAATTTCTTTTGATATTCCCAGGCCTTGCACTATTCTTGAGGCACTAATTCTGTGTAATATCTGTAAAAGGGCCACAAGTCCATAGAAATGTTTCAGACATCAGGTCAAATTGTCATTAATTTTTCTGAATAAATATTAGTATTTTGTTCCTTCAGGAAATTTTAGAGCAGGAAGATTTTACTTTGATCTAGATTAGAGTATGGGTCCTTTATTTTTTTTTCCTTCAGATTTCCATGAGATAGATACAAAATGCGATACTTAAGTCAGCTCTGTTCATCATAATGATTGGCTGAATTAACTTAAGCAATTCTCTTTTACTTGCTCTTTGCAGAGTGGAATATGAACCTTTGGTTGTCTGCTCCTCGTGTTTAGATGTAGCACAGAAAAATGCTTTAAATCAAGCCATCCAGCAGCTTGGAGGCCTTGTAGTGAATGAATGGACAAAAGAATGTACCCACCTTGTAATGGTATCAGTAAAAGTTACTGTTAAGGTATGTTGAGCTTTTGCCTGTTCATAGCATTGCTTTGCAGTTTTCCCACGACTGCTAATTAAATTCTAGACCTGTTCAAAATTTTTATCTACAAAACTGTAGTCAACTCTTCTTTTTCCAAGTTTAGATGTGCATGTCAACATGAGGTTGAAGGGAAAGTAAACAAAAAAAGCCGGTTTTGAAGACTTAGTAATTTTCATCAGTTGTCTTCTACATTTTTGTAGCTTTTTAATCAAGGCACCAGTTAAAAGCTAGGCTGTTAGAAGCAAAACAATCCTCGTAGCACAAATCAGTATTGTTTTATTTGTTTGATACTTTCCATATCTTAGATCTTTAAAAGTTAATGTCAGTTGAACCATATTCTATTAGAACTTTTTCTGTGCAGTAAATTTGTGTTTTCTGTTTTTTTTAGACTATATGTGCTTTGATTTGTGCTCGACCAATTATAAAACCGGAGTTTTTTTCTGAATTAATCAGAGCTATTCAGTCCAGGCAACAGTTGCCAAATCATGAAAGGTAAGTTGCCAAATCATCACGTTTACTGTGTTGCAGAATGAAGTTTATGGGAGTTAGATTATCAGATAACTACACATTTATCTGATGGTTTTTGACATAATACACAATTCATAGTAATTTTATTTGTAGAGGAATGCTTAATGTGATTAACATTTTAATATTCCAGCAATTTTGTTGTTCTTATCACTAGAGTTACAAAATTAGAGCTCTGGAATTGACTCTATGCTTAGAGATGTTGCTGTCTCTGAAAAGGAACTTGTTTATTGGTATTTAAATATTGCTTCAAACGCTCCTGGGAATTGATACATAAAAATAAACAAATTACACTTTTATAAAAGAAATTATATCACCTTTAATTCATTACATAGAGATATTTTTCCTGTGTGCTGTTAGTTACTGAGTTTACTGTAAACTTTGGTCAGAACAGAGTTAGCCTCACCATTGAATTCTCTGAAATAGAAGAGGTTTTTAATTATCTATTGAGAGATGAAGTGAGACTAATGTGCATTAGCTTTTACTAAATGAGAATAAAATATTCATTGTTTTCATGGTTAAATTAACTTCAAAAGGGAATTCTTAATTTGGAATCAATAAATACTGCAGAATAGCTCTTCTGTTTATTTTCTTGATGTAAGAAAATGTAAAATAGTCACAATATTGTATGTGACAATTTCATCTGAGCCCATATTGCTTCTCATTTTACCTTGAAAAAGGAGACATTTGTGTTTTGTTTGGGGGTTGTGTTGTTGGTTTTTTATTGTATGAACACATGGTTTATACAGGTAAGAAATTCCCACTATGTATATACATTCATATGGGCATAAATATGCATGTATTTTAGGAAATGGCAATTTATTTTCTTTAGTAGGTGTGGTAGTAGCAGTTGGTAGAATAGTTTGAAGACTGAGGCTGGATAGATGCTAAAACAGCTTCTGATGCACACATGGAAATAGAAACAGAACAAGAGGATTCACAAAAAGCTGTGCTTGATATGTGGTAAAATATATTTCACAGAACATGACACTGCCTTGTTACAAAAATGCAGATGCCAATCTGGAGCAATTGGTAGGAAATACTCCTTAGTTTCTAGATGCTGCTTTACATTAGCAGGGTTTGTGTAATATGCCAAATTAGTCATCTGTGAGTGGCTTAAAACTTGTTTGTTCTTCAGTTCCAGAAGAAAGAATCAGAATTAATTGTAACTTTCCCTTCTACTTAAACTTCTGCATTGTTTTCTGAGGATATAAGAAAAATGAACAAACTATTTAGTACTCTCTGAAATACTTTCCTGTGAGATTTTTTTTTTTCTTTTGTAGTACAGGTCATACAAGACATCAAAATCTAGTGATTGGTTGTACAACTTGAAATTTGTTTGGTGGAATATTACCTGGTGGTAATGCTGCTGTTCCTGTCTGTTGCAGGAACAAGTACAGTGTCTTTGTCTTTCAACCACGATGTGTGTCCATTTAATACAGAAGTGACGGTATAAGTGGCTTAAGTGCTCCCTGAAAAATGTACATGGATATGTTTACCTTTCTGAAATATTTTTGCTAACTTTTAAGATGCTGAGAGGACCTGAACTGGCTAAAAGGTGGTGACACTAGCAATATACACATTATGTAGCCTTCAAAGAGAGTTCTGCATCAAGCTAAATGAAACTGTTGATTTAATACACAGATCTATGTTTAAAATACTTGCTGTATTTTAAATAGGTCATGTTTTTGAGAAGTAGCTTATGGGAAGATGCTGAAAATTTACTTAGCAACTATTTTCATTAAACTTCCAAAAATACTTGTTACTTTGACTGGGAGTGTCTATATTGTGCATTGTAGCTAGAGCTGACCTGAGCTGGTATAGCCACAGGACATCAGACAGCTTGGGGCAATACTGGTTTGGGTGTGAAACAGGAAAAGTATATTGAGATGGCAATACTGGGTGACACTGTTAATTAAATCTTTACTGTTGTTGTAGAGCTGGTCCCTCCCAAAAAGCCTAGGGAAATATTATCTTAAAGTTAAAAAGAAAAAAATAATTAAAGTGTCTTTTTGTTTTCAGTAAGACTTCATGTAATGGCAAACCTGCAGTTCCCATATGAATGTGAGACTACTTGAGTTTTTTATGGTATTACCCTAGTGCTCTGGTACTCTCTAACAACCTATGCAAGGAAGAACAATGACTGAAGATTTCATAAATGGCTGCATGAGCGCAATCCTGTATGAAATAATGTGTTTTATGACTGCAGGCCAGTGTCAATAGTGCAGGGCTTTGAAAAAGAAGAAAAGTAACAAATTTTTTAACAGAAACTCACCAAGAATCAAAATCTATGTGTTGAGAGATTCAAGGTTGTAGAGGATCTTTTCTAGATAATGGTGTTACTGTTAAAAGCTTATGAGGCCATATATGAGGAGCACTTTAGAATCCTGACTACAAAAGACTGTTGCCTGTTGAGCTTAGACCATCATTGGGTAGGAGATTATAAGGAAAACGAAAGGTTGTTTTTTTGGGGTTTTTTTGGAGACAATCATAATTTAAAGTTGTATGCTGAAATTAAAAAATGGAGATTTAAAAATATATTTATAAAGAACTATAGTCCAGTTTCAAAGTAGTGAAAACTGTTGTTTTTCCATTTTGACTTGTCCTTTTATCTTTAAAGATGACTTTGTCCCTTGTATTTATCTTAGGTTACTAACTGTCTCTAGAGAACCCACTATCAGAAATCTTCTGGCGTAGTAACTAAAGTCTGAATTGCCCTTCTTCTGCTTGAAATTAGTAGGCTTTGTCATATCTATTCAATTTCAATGCAGTAATATTTCTGTAAACAGATTTGAACAGGCTAGTGAAATAGATCAAATACTCACCTTTCAAAATCTAGTGGATTTAGGTTGCCTAATTTTCATTGTGTAAAGGTTGAAGAATTGATTGTGAAGAACACATAAGAATGAAGAGTATTTAAAAAGCACCTGTAACTATATAGCCTATTCATAACACATTTTACCCTATCATAATTGAATTGCATATTTGGATGAAGTAGAAAATTTATGTGCTTATTTTTGCGTTCAGCTTTAAATACATGTTTATTTTTTGTGTTTGAGGGATGTTTTTCTGTTTACAAATGGTTGATTTTTTTCTGAAATATCAATATTTCAGCATTTCATATATGTCTTCCTTAGAATCTGCCAAACAGCTATTTGGGTACAGGTGGGGTATAGTTTGGTTAAAATTAACTTATAGTTTCCATTCTTTCTGACATATGCTTTTACCTTGCTCTGTCAGTACTGCTGTAGCAGTGAATATGTGGCTCAAAAATCTACTAAGTATCTTGAAATTACTAGTTAGATGCATTTCCTAACTCCAGAGCAAGTTAGGACATGGCTCTGGGCAGGCCGTCATTAACTGGAGCTGAGGTTGCAGGCTGTGACGAAATTTAGGGCTTCAGGGTAGAATTTGATTTTTGCCTAATATATTTCCTAGCTAAACTCCTGCTCACTTTCCTTGTATTGGACAAAATAATAGAGAATCTGCAGAGTGAATCCCTTCAGTTCTGTATCCCACTAGCAAGGAAAAGTGTACTTGTCTGCTGTCACGTTGTAGGCTGTTTTTGAGTGTGGTGGCACATAATTTGACACAGTGGAAGAGAATGAGGGGTGACTGTCCACACGTGGAGGGTTGAGGAAGCAAGATGATTAATTTTGTATGGAGTTTTACTATTATCTCGAGTAAATGCAGGATGAAGTTGCAGCCTCATTTGTCAGTGTTGTTAGTAAGAATGTGGATATGTGTACAGCAGCTTGGGTGAATGCATTCCTAAAGTGTTTTCTTAGTTACTGAAGTAGAAAGTCTTGGTCTTATCTTTGATGATGAGAAATTGGGGACTCTGTTTCTTCTTAACAATCTCTCGAAAATTATTTATGTAAGTAGTTTTAGCAGAGAAATGCAGGATTTTAACTTCAGAACTTTACTCTTAAACAGAAAGGACTGTGAGTCAGTACTGATTTGGAAAGCTGAATTTTGTAACTTTCATTTTCTGTTCTTGCAGCTTTTATCCTCCAGTTGATGAGCCTTCCATTGGCAGTGAAAACTTGGATTTATCTGAGCATCAAGAAAGGAAAAAAATATTCAGTGGAAAAACTTTTGTATTTCTATCTGCCAAGCAGGTAATCAGGCTTTACATTGCAGAAATATTGCAGGGGTAGCTAAGTACAGACTTAGCTGAAAGTCTGTACTGAGCATTCTGGGTTCATCAGGAAAGAAAGATTTCTTTGTATTTATCCTATGGTACAGTGGCCTAAGCAAGATAAAATGTAGAGGAGGAACAGAAGATATTTCATCTGCAGTCGTGCATCAGTGAGAAGCACTACACTGATAGTTCTGTATTCTGATACCTCTGAACTGACTGCATTCTGAGTTGTTTTTTTTTGTATTCTCTCTTTAGCACAAGAAACTGGGTCCAGCAGTTGTTCTTGGAGGAGGGGAAGTAAAGTTGATGACAGAAGGAAGAAAAGAAATGCCTTTACTACTTTCTCCTGAAGTCTGTGTAGTTGATGTGGGTTTGGCAAACTCTCAGCTCTCAGGATCTGACTCTGTGACAAACTGGACTGATTCCATTCTGACTGACTTGGAAAGGTGCAGCATTGTTCTCTTGTACAGCGGTAGGGTAATTTCAGAACTTCTACAGAGACTTGGTTGTGGTGTTTACATATATATTTAAGCAGGAGGCTGCTTATAAAGAGGGCATTTTTACATTGTTCTAAGTATTTGGCAGAGGAACTAAAACTTCTTGAAGCAGAAAGAACTTGGCAGTTCCGTGAGGATTTGATGGAATTCCTGTTTTCTTCTCTTTTTATTATTTTCCTGTAGAACTTAGTTCTAGAAAAATTCATCGTAATGAAGTTGCTTTAAAATGACAGACAGCAAGTAGTTTCTCTTCTACTATTTAAAAGAAGTTAAAATTAATATATTCTAAGAATTCAAAATAGATAATTCATGATATTTCATTGATTATATGTATTTCATCAAAAGAAGATGTGATGGCACCTTGAGGTCATGTGGTTCACTGTTATGTAATTATTTGTATACAGAGTTTTTGAAGAACAGCTTTTGTTCAATGAAAATTAGTTTTTGTTTTGGTGGTAGGTTTTGTTTGAGGAGGCAGACTGCATATATTGTGTTAGTATTATCATTATGCCATTTTATTAAAACAGTGAAACAAAATCCCAATCCTAACACATAAACCTAGTTCCCCTGAATTTTCCTGCTAGGTAGAGAAGACAGTACTCAATCTCTCCTCTTGACTGTAGTACAGAATATTTGAGGGGGAAGAGTGCCTGACTTTTAAGAAGTGGTCAGATCTTTCAAGTCTCTTTTCACACATTTTTGAATCAGAGGTAGAGCATAATTGGTTAAATGCCCAAAAATTAGGAAAGTAGAGATATATGGGCCAGATTACTGGAGCTAGACAGTGGCTGCAGCAGCAGGAAACATGGGAGTTTGTACATATAGGACATGGCTCTAGTGAAGGATAATTGTGTTGACTTACTGTATTGGGAAAAACAGTAGTATTTTTTGGAGGCTGATTTTTTTTGGAAGGAGGAGGAATGGAACATTTTGTACTTTGCCATACTTGTGGTCATTTGCCTGTTTGTCTTTGAATCTGTACTGAAAAGCTTTTTTTTTTTTTAATTTATGTATTAACAGCAAGAATCTTAGGGCTATTCCAGAGGCAGAAATTGGATTGGCAGTTATCTTCATGTCTACAGAAAAATACTGCAACCCTCAAAAGCAACCTGCTTCCAAAGGTAATTGGAAGAAGGGTAGTAATAAGTTAACAGCCTCAAAGAGGCAGTATTTCTTTTTGTGTAGGAGTATCAGTTACGATGTTCAAGTTCTTCTGTTTTGCAAAACCATTAAAAAAGAGTGATATTTTATGAAAAATGTATACAACTCCAAAGAGGTAATTGGTTTTTAATGGTCTTGCTGTAAATTGCAATGAAAATATGATTCTTAGATGTAAATAAAAAAGTGGATCTAAAACTAGCCTAAAAGGCAGGCACATAGAACAGTCACCTTGAAAAGAAAGATACTTTAAAAACATCTGAAGTTCATGTTTTTGGTGACCACTGAATTCATATGTATGTGGTTGTTTGAATTCCATGCTGTTCTGTCTTTTCATAAAAGACTGGGGTAATCAGGAAGTTAAAGATGAATTTCAGAAATCAAGAGAATAAGAATGGAAATAATTTGTTAAGGCTTGCATTTTTTTCTTTTTTGCCCTTTGCTCTAAACAGAATTTACTTTAGGAAAGTACAGACACCTCCTGCTCAGTTCAAAACTTAAAATAATCTTTCCATAAGTTAAGACAATGAGACATGATCACCACATTTGCTGAAGTAGTAGTTTGGGAGTGGACATTCCAAGTCTTGACTTGAAACTTGTATTTGCTAATGTGGTAATGACAAAAGTCTTTGAGAGACAGAAAGAGGTTTTGTTTGTCTCTTTTCATGCCTCTTCATATTATTCTATATTTTGTTGCTATGAAATTTTCAGAATTATATTTTATATGTATGTTTATGTTTTGTTCTACAAAATGTTCTATCAGGTAGAATATCCTACCATTATTTTAAAAATGGAAGAAAAAAACCCCTGAGTTTGTCTTACATGCAGGAACATGACTTACTTGAAAATGTATTTTTGAATAAAGACATATATGCCGTACTGGCAGAGATGCTGATTCTTGTTTCCAGTCTGAACAGTTCAACTGGAGAAAAGTTAAGTTGTCTGAAATTGTGTAAACAGACTGTATATCAGACTTTAAAGGGAGCAGTGTTTAAAATTGGAAAAACCCTCCCAGATACAGGAGATCATTATACAGGAGTAAATATAAGGAATTTTGTGCTCTGACAGTTTTACATGATCTATATATTGTATTATATATATTTTAATTTTTGCATAAAATATATACCACATGATTTTTAAGGACATTATGTACATACTGGTATATGATTTCTCATTATGCTTCATTTTTATTTGAGCAGAATTCCATTACTTCATCAGTAGGTTATTTAACTAAATCTGTATTCCAGAATATGGTCCTTTATAACTGTTTCTGTCAGGGTTTTTTTTAATTAATAAATCTGCTTATTTTTTAATGAAAATTGCTTTAAGATCATTTTACAAAGATCTCATGTGATCAGGTAGTAATGTGCAATAGCACATGCAAAGGAACACAGATTTGATATTAACCTTCTAATTCTTCTCTTGTGTTGGTCTTGCAGCTGTAGCTGCAAGTTCTGCATCGGCTGTCGTAGGCCGAGCCATTTCCCAGAGTCCGGCTGTGGATGAAGCCATCATGCCAACTGCTGCAGATAGCAGCACCTTATACATACCTGATACAGAAGAGCAGACATGGTAAAGTATTCATGGAAATTTCTAAGCTAATACTTGCAAATAAAGCAGTCTTTTATGGCAGAGGAACTGTATCATTGCCATGGGGAAAGATACACAGAGTTAGAAATTGTGGTAGTTTCTGGGGTCTTCGACGATGGTGGAAAGGAAGGAGTCTGACTCCATGTTCTTACAAGGCTAATTTACTATTTTATGATATGATATGATATGATATTATGCTGTACTAAATGATATTAAATAATAGAGAAAGGATACAGACAGAAGGCTAAAAAGAATGATAATGAAAACTCGTGACTGACTCCTCAGATTCTGACAGAGCTGGCCATGATGGGCCATTAAGTAAAAACAATTCACATGTTGGATAAACAATCTCCAAACCACATTCTAAAGCAGCAGAACACAGGAGAAGCTGAGGCCTCTCAGCTTCCCAGGAGAAAATCCTGGGCAAGGAGATTTTTCAAAAAAATATCACAATGACAGGAAATGCCGTGCACTAAATTGCTGTCACTTGTCTGCAGTGAGATAATTTCTGCTTTTGAGTACTAGATTACAGAAAGCATCCCATAGGATTTAGATGACATTCAAATGTATTTGTAGATACTGCAGATCTGTCTTGACTGTCTGAACTGTTAAAAATTTTCAAGGCATTTCACAGTTATAAAAATATGTTGATGTTAGATTTCACAGTTTGTTTTTAGCACATTGTTTATACAAGTTTATTCAAAGTACAGGTATCACTTTTTTAAAAACTGTATCTGATTCGATATATCTCTGGTAACCTCCTGTGTGTCATTTAGTATTTCTTTCCTCTCTAATCTAGCATGGAGATAGAGAACACTTCCCAGGTGCATAGACAAAGGAAAATGGCTTTCCAGGATACAGCTGGAAAGAAAAACAGTGGCACAAGTGGCAGTGTAAATGCAGGACCATCGATACCTAGAGGAAACAGAACATCTGGGTTCAGTCAAAGAAGTCAGCCTGTCTCACCATCTAAAATTCCAGAAGCTGGCAAACCTTGTGAGAGTGCTTCACGTCACCAGTCGAACTCAATTATGAATTACTTCCAGGTTTCTAGAAAAAGGTACGTTGAAATGTTCTTGACATTACTTCCCTTACTGATATGTTCATGGTGTTTCTGGAAAATTTTAACTCAAGCAATGTACTTTAAATTTGACACATACTTAAAAAGGTAGTTTTTAGATCAAATTCCTAGAATGGAAAGTTTTTCCTCAAGGGCACTTTAAATTTCACAATGCAGTCCCTAAAACCCCAGAAGCTGTTATGTTGTGGGTGCAGGTAATCATACTCAAAAATGCTTTTGTAATGTCTTTTGTAATTTATTTCTGACTAAGGGAAAGAGCTGAAGAAGAAGAAACATCTGTACCTAAAATAGCAAAATTGGAGGAAAGGTCATCACCTCTTCCCAAGTGCACTGATTCCACAACTTCATTGATCTGCAACAGTGAAGCAAAACAGCATCAAAAGAAAAATAACATCCTTGAGCCAAACCCAAATTTTGCAGAAGACATGGGTATAAAGTCTATGAGGGAAAGTGTCAAACTAACAAGTGATAGAACAGACACTAAAACCACTTCTAGTGAAAATCATGCACCAAAAAAGAGAAAGGAATTAGATGATTTATCTAAAGATACAGAAGCACTAGAAATTGTGTTTGGAAGTGGAGACATAGACTGGGAAGATCAAATGGTAGATCATGACCAGGAAGCTCAAAGAAGTAAACGGAAAAAACAATGTTTGGAAGCCAAAGGAAGCAGGATTCCAGAAGTAAATGTAAATCAGCAAGAGGAGAATAAAGTATTGGTAAGTTTTATGTTCTCAGGTGCCTAATCTTGAAATTTGCAATTTTGTGGGAAGGATGCAATTATAACTCCTTGAGGGAGGAGGTTGCCTACATGCAGAAGGTAGCTCTGTCAAATTTGTTTGCTTAAATCTCATACATGAATTTTTAGTTCAGAATAATTCATCTTTTGCATGTGAACATTGCAGTTTTACACCCACCTAAATGTTTTTTTTATTCTCTGGGCATTTTTTCTTTGTTTATTGAAAGCTGCTTGTATTCTGAACTTTTCCTCTTTTTTTTTTTTTTCTTTATATACTGTATGTAGAATAGGAGAATATATCCCTGGTCCAAGAAAAAATTCTCATAATGCTTGTTGCTGTGGTAATGACAATATTGTTATTTATACTAAGATAGTACTCAATTATATTTTTGTAATTAATTTTCTAAAGAAACTTATAGCTGACCTCTTCTGTTGAATACCACAGTAGTGTCCAACATCTTTTTGAGTCTTTTGATATTGTGTGAAAGATTATTAAAATTCCTGTATGACAAATTTTAAACCAAAACAAACTAAAACAACAGCAAAACCGAAACACAGCTTGTGTTTTTTTGATTATTTTTCTGTTTTTGTTTTTGGCACTAAGGAAATTTTCTAAGATGTATGAAGAAAACAATACACCTTGAGTTAACAGTGGTCACTTTGTTGAAAAAAAAGAAAAGCAGGTTTGTAAAGGAAAACAATGTTGAGAGGTCTAGAGTATTAACAGTACAATAGGAATAAGAGAACAAAGGTTTTTTTAATTTATTTGGAATATATATTTTAGTGCTTACTGTCCAGTCCATTTACAGAGTAGGCAGTGTTTAAATTCTTAAAAGTTTGAATGCTTGATTAACTGGAATTTGCAAGATTCCTTGGACCACATAAGAATTTGTAATGGTTTATGCATCCTTAGGTCAGACCAGCTTGACACCTTGTTGATGCTTTACTGGAGCTTCTAGCAAAGTGTGAACTTGAACTTCATTATAATGCTCTTTTATTGTGTGTGTTACTACCAGGAAAACTTTAAAAGACAAGTTCTATAATTTAGAGAATTTTGTTTCTTGATTTTTATACTATCAGACAGTAGGTACTTTTTATTAGGTCTGAGCATACTGACAGGCTAAAACTGGTGCTTGGAATAGTCTATCGAATTTTGTTGCTTGGTGCTTGGAAAGTTTTTCTAGTCTAACTTCTTGTCAGGATTCTGAAGGAGAAAAATAATCTTATGGGCAACTAAACTGGTACTTTAGCAGATACATATGCACTTAAAGATTTCTGCTGAAAAGAAGTCTTTTCATAGTTTAATAATGACCTACTTTATTAATGTAAAATACATTTCCAGTGGACTAGGAAGGAGATTTCATGATAAAGCTCCCCAGGCAAATTTGGTAACTATTTTCTCTAAGTATAGATGCACCTTGTGTATCTGGCAAGACAAAGAATGTGAGTAATTGACTCAAAACCTTCAAGGTGCATAAAGCTGATTTGGTATTTTATGAACCAGTGAAAATAATTTATGTAATGCAAATCTAGTTTTAAACTATAGGACATAATCAACCTGCAGAACACTTTCTTGTCCTGGTAGTGAAATGTCCTGTCTGTGCATGTGTACACTTCAAGTATCAAATTGAAAATGCTACTCTTGAATATAAAAAGCTTTTACAGTTTTCCAGAGCCTGCCAGAACTTTGAAGATTGTACAGATGGACAAAACTTCCTAGTGTGTAAGGAAGAAGGAAAAAACCACAAGTGAACAAATAGTGATGTTTTAATAGAGGAAAATCTCCAACAATTGTTACAGTGTGCATAAAATCATAAAAAAAATTAAAGTACGGGGCAGTTTATTTCCTGTCTAAAAATTTATATTGATTTGAATATGTTTATTCTACCATAAAGAGCAGAAAACAATTCTGTGTAATTAAATTTCCATTTCATTTCAGTTTTATATTTAAAATAATTTTTAATCAAATAGAAAGAAGAGGATCTTGGATCAGTTCTAACTTCAGAAATGAAAAGTAATATCAAGCAAGAGTCTCCAGTCTTGGTAAGGAGCCAGCTAATTGTAAGTTGGAACAGCAAACTTTAAGAAGCTTTACAAAAACCCATCAAATTTTTGCTCTGAATAACATAGTATTTTTGGATGCTGTTTCAGGGTAAAGGAGGTTTGGAGGGTTGTACTCCTTAACATAATCATATGTAAATTTGAGTAGTGCAGTCCAGCTTGTAGACTGTGGAAAAAAAGTAGTTCACCTCTGTGCTTCTGTAATGGCATTTGGGTGGATACTTAAAGGTGACTGAAACTACATGTAATTGTATTAACTCCTCAATGTGGTTAATACTTGTACTGATGATTTTCTTAGATTACTACTTAAAGACCTGCCATGTAATCTTGTCAATGTGGTTAATACTTGTACTGATGATTTTCTTAGATTACTACTTAAAGGGATGTAATCTTCTCTGCTGTAAGATCACAACTAAAAGGGAAGAGATGGAGCATTGGGAAAATAGATGTCATATACAGTGATTAACAGTAGATAGTGTGCTAGTTTTTTTGTAGGTGAGATGAAGGAAGGAAGGAGAGGAGAGTTGCTTGGGGTGGCAGGGAGGCAGAGGAAAAGGAGACTAGGCTGAATGAAACTGAAATGAAAGAATTCTGAAGAGATAGAGTGTAGCCAGTCAACAAGGAATAATACCATTTCATCTACATACAAAAAAAAAAACCCCAAGAAGAGGGAATGCTCAGCAGTTATACCAAAGTGCAGGGTCAGCTCAGATTAAAGAACTTCTGGTTATGTTTTACAATAAAACAGCTCTTCTGCATCTGGGCTGGCACTGTCCTTGAACATAGTTTAGTGTTACTTATGAGCTTGTCCTGCTCCCAGATTCCTTTGGAATCCACATAGATATAGCCCTAGGCAGCAAAGTGTGGATGCAAACTTGCTGGCATATGAGCATGCTCATGGACAAGAAAAATTTGATATATTAATCAAATTCAGCTTACAGCCCTAAATTTGTAGGCTAGAATTGAGCTGAAAATGCTCAACTTTGTCTGCCATGCAGCATTGAAATATGTATTTAAACACAAGCAAAACAAATTTACTCTATTCATGGTATATTAGGAGACTGACAAGTTCATACATCATCTTAGCTTGTAGCACTGCTGCTGCTTTCCCTCACTGTTTCATAATCCCAACTTTTACTTAGATCTGCTCAGGATAATTTCTCTACAGTTTGTGCTGTTAGACATGCTGTGTGTCTGTTCTGTACTTGAATGCTTCTTCCTTTCTCTTCCCACATAAGAACCACAGCAAACTGCAAGATGACTCCAGCAATCTTCCTAGCAGGCTTCTGTTGACAGAGTTCAGATCACTGGTTGTCAGCCATCCAAGACAGAACAGTCATCTGTCTGGAAATACCAGCTATGGGGGAAAGAAAAATTTCAAAATGTTCAAAAAGGTTAGTGTGTTTTTTGAATGGTCACAAGATGGCACTATTTAAAAATACTAAAATGTGTTGTCAGATTGTAGAAATGTGTTACTAAAGATTTTTTTTTTAATAAATTGATAATAACTAAAGAAAGAAACAATTTAAATACCATATTATACTGTAAACAGTATTTTGTTAACTGAATGAAGAAGTACTAGTTCACAAAGGCTTACCTTGTGCTAGATTATTTAGATACTTACACACCCTTTATTCCAAGCTGTTACTTGGAATAAGTTGTTAAGTGATAGCTACCATAACTGCAGGTTGTACTTCCAAAAGCTAGCAATTCCACTTCTCCAAAGACCTATATATACACCATAGGGTGACTCAGAGTCTTCCATTTTAACTAATAAATCTTGGATTTCTAAATAGAACTAAATCTGTATCATACAAAAGTAAAACAATTGCTTGCTTGGGTCCTTGGTCAATTGCAAAATGATTCTTAGTGTTAAGTGTAAAAGTACCACTTCAGCTTACATTAAAAATAAAATAAAAAAAAAAAAATCATGTGGTATGAGATCCTAGAAAGGCATTTCAGTAAAATTCTATGTATAGAATGTGATTACATAATACTGCTTCCTGGGAGTTTGCTCTCATTTTTAGATAATGTTTTAATTTTCTGATAATAGTTTCTTACCCACCATTTTGTAACAGATGCTTATGCACTCTGACAGTAAAATAGAAACTGATTTTTATTGATATTTCAGTCTCCACTTAATGCACTATGAAATTTATTTATTATATTTAACTTACCAGATGTATTTTTGTTTGTTTCTTTTAGTAGCTTTCTGTAAATGCTTTTTTAACTTCAGTGACTTTTAAATATGATCTTTGAATATTAATCAAAGAAAGACTGCCTTTCTTCTGTGATGTCTGAAAAGACTTTCTGAATTTGTTAAAATAGATCTTTTATTTGCAATATGCTTGCCTTGTAGTTATAAGAATTTATTGTCCAACAGGTAGCTTACCCTGGGGCAGGACAACTTCCACACATTATTGGAGGATCAGATTTGATTGCTCACCATGCTAAAAAGAATTCAGAGCTAGAAGACTGGTTAAGGCAAGAAATAGAGGTAAGAAATTAGTTTTTAAACATGATAAAATAAAAACTTGACTAATGTAAGTGGTCATACCAACCTGTGATCATTACTGGGATACTTCAGGATTTTATTTTTTAAATAAAACCTCGGCTCGTTAGTTGTCCACACATACTCATGGGAGCATGTAAAGTAGTAAAATGATTGAATGTCAGTGGTCAGTGGTAACACTCATCTTTTTCTGGTTATTTAAATTCATTTTGCATGCAACACTCATGTAATCAGAAATATTTGTAGAAAGAAAATCAGTAACCTAAATGAGAGCAATCTTTTGATGAGTAAAATAAGCGCTACGTAAACTTGTGACTTGTAAAAATGTGACAGGGAGCTAGAAAGAATTTCTATATGGCTAAATGTGTTCAAATAGTTCTGCAGTACAGTTGATATTCTACTCTTGAATAGAACAGAAAATGCATGAGTAAAACTGTTGGAATGTACTGAAGAGATGTAGTAAGAATAAATTTAGTATTTTTTTCTTTTGTGCACTTCTTTAGATATAGAAGTCCTAAAAAATCACTTATTATGGCAGTTGTTTAGCACTTTCATTTTCCGATTGTTTCCTTACAAATACTTGCTGATGAGTCACATTATTTCCTGAGCCTGATTGCGATGCAATTGCATCAGTGCTTCTTATCTCATTTTTTTAATCCCTGCATATAGATAATGCTAATTAAAATTCCCCTTATATGCAAACTTCCAAACTTCTGACCAAAACTGACACTTTTCACAAACTATGCCATTTCATTACTTGGTAGCAGTAGCCAAATTTGGGTAGTGAAATAACTCTTCTAATGTGAATATGCACTAAACAGAATACTTAGAGAGAACTTACTTCTTTGGGAAAATTCTGTTAGTGCAGAAATACTGTTTTTCTAAATGGTTAATTGGAATTATCCTTAACAGTCAAATATTAAATAAACTTTCTCAGGAACAGAACCGACATGCAAGAGAAGAATCACTTGCTGATGATCTCTTTAGGTAAGAGTTTTATGTTTGTGCTTAGAAAAATGTGTATTTTTACATCACATCTTTTTTTTTTTACAAATTTTGATTTTGGAAAAGATTACTTTGACCATTCTTTACAGAATTTCACGTATTCTCATATATAGAATGTAGTCAAAGTGGTTCATCAGTTTCTCTGGGAAAAAAGCCAACCTATTCAGGCTTCATTTAACATGGAAAATAGGAGGAGGTGAGTTGGAGGAGAAAACATGAAAAGATGTTCATGACTGTCAGCATCTCTCTAGCCAGTCACAGACAGGGTTGAAGCTGCCGTTGTTCTGATGCGAATTTCCATCATGGATCATCTCCTACTCCTATCTGCTTTATCTCCCCACTCCTCCCCTGCCCACAGAACCCGTATCTGGTCCATAGAATCTGCCATAGAATTTGCTGTCCAGAAGACATTTAAGCATTAGAAAGAACATGTTACAATGCTATAACAGTAAAATCAAATAACTGTTCTGAGAGTTAATAGGGTCTCATTTTGTTTAGCAAAAACTTCATTACTTTCTATGTTTTTTATGTGAAGAAAAAGTGACCAGTGTTTGACTTCTCACCTCTCATGAATTTGAGGAACACCAAAAGTTGTGCATTTAAGTAGAAAAATGTATATGGTGAAGAAGGATTTTTTTTTTCTGAATCACTGTCAAACAAACATGATTTTGTATATCAGTACATGTTAGGACCATTCAGAAAATCTTACTGCATTATCAACTTGCTCTGTTCATTAACAGTTAATAATGGAGCATTTTTTTCAAAGGGTATACATTTAATTGTTGAAGGGTGAATTGTATAGCAACAACAGTGACTTTTAATACCTTTCTAGATATGTGGTGATGTAATTTGGCTCACAAATTGTCACATTTTTCTGTCTAAGCACAAAGTTTTGATGAATTACTTTATGTAATTCATTCAGTTATGTCTGTAAGTTAGTCATGCATGAATACAAAACACATCAGAATTTCAAAGAAATGACAGGAGTTTGGGAGAAGAAGCATAAATGGAGAAGGCCAAGGGATAGCAAGTAGATGTCAAGATGAGTCAAGCTCAAGATGTCAAGTAGAGTCAAACTTATAAGCATATTGCAGTAAATCAGGTAACTGTTTAGTATATCCAGAAAGTAGCTCTAAATTTCTAACAGTCAAGCAGAAGTTGTATAAAGGGCAAGGTAGGGCAAGGATCTGCTTTATGTTGGAGTAGGAAGCAGCAGAAAGGTTGTGTCTGAATGAGTTGTGGTCAAATGTACATCAGCATAAACACACAGCACCCCTTTTCCCTCCCTCCTCTTGATTCTTGTAGTGTCCTTTTCCAGTAAAGAGCTTAGTGTTGGGACATTAAAGGCTTGGAAAGCTTGGTCATGCATCAGATTTAAAGGTCGTAAGTAGTTACGAAATCTGAAAATTTCATTAACAGTTATCTTAAGTTATTACAGAGGTTCTTCTATCTTATGCATCTTTCATTCAAATAGTAGTAACTATAGTTAATTACAGGAGTGTAGTCAGGGAAAGGACTGAATACTGGCGATTCCCTTGTTGTGAATTTGTAATAAAGCTGTTTGCATCACCTTGTATATCTGTATAAACTTTGAATATCATTATTTTACTTATTTGTGACAGTTTTTATTTTTTTGTTGCAGATATGATCCTAATGTGAAAAGAAGAAGATAAATTGTGATCTGGATTTACAGTGTTTCTCTGGCAAAACCTGCTTTCTGTTCCTTAGGTTTCCTGGTTACAATGTATATGATGTTCCTATATATGACCATTTGAATATCTCTTACTGTAATACATGTTTTCTAAGTCTTGCTTTTATTAAAAAAAGAGAAAAGTTCCTTTCACTGCTTGGTACTTACAGATTGCACCATTGTCAAGACCTTCCCATTATTCACTTCAGAGTAATGCTCAGTGAAATACTATAGATACTTAGGATTTCATTTTAGAGTATTTCTAATATTTGGTTATCAGTACTGTTTTGGGAAAAAAAGAAAGTTGCCATCAGGCTATTTTTTCTTTTTTTCAGAAAGCCTTTGTTCATTAGGTAATTTCAAAGGTATCTTAAGAATTGAAAATCTGTTGAGGCTGAGATTCAACTGGTGTTTGATCATGATATGATATGGTTGATAAGATATGATCATTATATGACTCATAATGAACCACTTCTCTGTGGTTCATTTTATGGAGCATATTACTGGTACAGAATATCTTGGAACTGAAAAAAACAGCTTATTTTTCTCTTGCTTAAACATATTTTCATTTACACCTTTAAATCACTGTGATTGAATGTTCATTTGTTAAAACCTACTTCCAAGCCAGACAATGTCTTAAAGAGCTGTGACACCCAAATTTGGAATTTGAAATTATATGACCCATTTCTTTCTTTCATACCTTTACTTTTTGCAATCACTGTGTAAAAATATGGCCTTCAAAATAGTTCAATTGACTGGGAAAGCTATGAAACAATTCATAGCTTGTGGATTAGGAGAGCGCATCTTAATGATCTGAGAATTGCAATTAGTGAGATTACGCTGGAAGTGCAGTGAGAAACTTTCCAGACTTCCTGCTCAGGTGTATGAAGTCTGTCTCACATACAGATAAAGATAGCAGATAAAGATGGACAATAGCTCCATTGCATCCTGTTTCAAGGGGGAGGATCTCCTTCCTCATGTGGGGAAGTAATCTGGTTGATGTAATTGAATTGGTACAGACAGAGTCATTCCCTCTGCCAAGAGCTCTGAGCATACAATCAACATGAGCTGCACCCTTTGAAGGGGCTCCGTTGTGTATCAGATGTGAGGAACAGCATTGTGGGATCTGTGCATGTCAAGATAGCAGATGTGCTGAAGTCATCATGGTTGCAACACGCAGAAAATACTTGGCCTTCCAAAGCCAGTGTTTTCTTGGGTCTGTCTTGGCATCTTCTTGCTGGTCAGCAGTGTCCAGAGTGATACACAAAGTGCAGCCCAATACTTCTGAGCTCCACAAAAGCTGTGAGAGTGTTTGCATCAGGGCACATCAAATCTTATCCACCAAACACTTTTGAAAAGACTTAAGCAATTCTTAAGCAGTTGAAATTCTTTCTGAAGGAGATGTACTGACTGTTCAGATCTTGTTACATTTTTTTGTGTGTAACAGAGTTTGAGGGTTTGTCTGGAATGTGTTTTTTTTGTAACATTTAATAATTTTGTTCACACTGCTTACAGGAAGGAGATGCACACAATATATAAACTAAATAAACTTTTTATTAGCAAGGCTCTTAACATACAGTCTTGCATTCAGCAGCTTAGCTGATGAAAACAGTTTAAAGCAGGTTGAATCATTCTAGATACTATTAAAACTGTGGATAGGTGCTGTATCCCTGCATAAAAACATGTTTAATTTTCAGTTTAACTCACACCAATCTCAGCTGACTTCCCACTTTCTACATCAGCTGGGGAAGCCACAGGTTTGGGTTTTTTCAGAGAAGACTACCAAGATATTTGCACTGTTAAGTGTGATTTCTATTTCTGTCCATTCACATCTATGAGTCTGTCCTTTTTTCTCCTACCCTTAACTCCCCCATCTTCTCCCAGAATGGTGGCGGTTGTGCGTCAGGGCTGGCCTCTCCTTTGTCATAGCACCAGTTCCTATATGTGGAAACTGCAGTCAGCTTGAGTTCCTCCATCCAGCCACCTCCCCATCACCTTCCTCTGAAATGCCAAGTCCCTTCCTTGCCTTCATTCCTGATGTGTGATAGGCTCTATTCCATATTAAATCCTAACTGAGACCGAATCCTAACTGATTAGCTGAAGCTTCTAATGTAGACCTACCTCTAACCCACTCACCCATCTTGCTCCAGTCCATGTTATACAAATGATTTCTCAGTCCTGTCTCTTCCTCTCCCATAAAACTGGAGGGAGTCTTGCACCTTCTTGTTTTTTTCCATTTCTTGAATCAATTGTCAGTCACATTTGGCCACATCTGGTTTGAGTCACAAATTCCCAAACTGATTTTTGCTTGATTTTTCAAATCCCAACTGTGATTATGTTGTTTTGGTATCTCCTTAGAATTCAAGCCAAATGTGCCAAAAAAAAATGAACCCTCTTCCTTACCATTATTCCTCCCTCTTCCTCTTGCAAACTTTGATCACCATCATCATCACATTCCAGTGAGATAGTTACAAAAATGCTACACAATATCAGATATCCCTGACTAGCAGCTCTGTCTACCACTTGCTTTAGCACTCTGCCCATACTGCTCTGCTGCAGCTTTTACTACTGGAACCTCTGTCAGTCATTGGTTTCAGTGCCAGATCCATGCAAAACACCTTCTCCCTCCTTCTGAACACTGAAGCTCTCTTTTCCTCCGCTTTTGATCTTTCATTTGACTTGAGTTCCCTACTTCTCAAAAGCAAAATAACTGACTTCTAGGTGACAGTACTTTAATTATTTTGCCTTCAGTCTATAATCAGTTTTCACAGATTAAGATTAAACAAGCCTAGCATGCAACCACAGGAGTATTTATCGTCTTGATTATTAAAAAAGAGAGCAAAAGAGAAGTTTTGCTCACAAATTGCTTACCGAAAATGTTCTGTACATGTTTATACTGCTCATCTTAAAAAAAAAAAAAAAAAAAAAAAAAAGTATGATGCAAGCATACTCCAGTGAAAGATGAAAACAGACACTGCCACACACAAAGAAATGATATTTACACAGTATCTCCAAGTCCAGGTGCGTTTTATGTGAGCAAACATAGGTAGATTAATATAGTCCTTTATATAAATTCAAACTGGAATTCCAGCATAACAGGTCTAACAGAAATGGGCAAGGTCAGAGTACTGACTCAGTAAATTGTGCCAAGGAGATGTAAGGTAGCAGGATCAGTTCTTGAACAATAGCTCACTGTTCACATAGCAGCTGGTCCTAGCATGCAAACTGATGAAAAATATTCATATATCTAGTTAATTAACAAACTAGAAATGCCAGGATTCTATAGTATTTTGGGAATACACAGCAAACATAATTAATTTTCTTTATGCTGTGATGTAAGTCTCCAGAGGGTGTCTAGGGACATAAAGCTCAATTTTAGTTTATTGAAGCATTCACTGTAGGCTGGTACTTACACATTGCTCATAATAAAGAGATGGAGGAGGGAGATGCAAATTAAGAGTTACTGAGCCTTCAGAGCAAGTTGTTTCCTGGTTTTGATGACTACTGATTACATATAGGTTTTAAGAGTTGGTTTATAAAGTCCTGAAAGTAGAAATTTTCAGTTAGAAAAATGACCTAACATGCAGACAGGTATAATATGAACTCAAGGTATGCTTGAGCTGAAATGTTCTAGTGTCTATAGACAAAACCATCTTTAGAACAGCACTTAGATTCACTGTAGCTACTAAATAACACTAGAAATGCTTTCCCGCCTGCTTATAATCCTTGTTCCTTACACCAAATTCATCCTTGACCACACACTTCTCGTTGTAATTCAAGCTTCAAAAAGAAATTAAAACTGAAACTCCCAGTATACCATATTCCCAAAAGTACACTGTTTCAGAAAAAGAGCTGTTTATAATTCCTTACTTCAGGTTTGTACCTCTAATGTCATCAAAGCCTTTCTTTTTCTGTCAAAGATGCGTCAATTTCCATTCTTTTTGCTAGGTAAAATCAACTGCTATAGTTATTTCAAAAAGTTTTCTTTCAGGTTGGGCAAGGGAAAATGGGGAAAATATTTATACAACAAGTTCTCACGTCTATGGAGTGTTCCTGTCTTGCTCTCACTCTAAAAGAACCCCAAAATTATGACTGTTATTGCAAGATTCTAATGCATTGTCTAAATTAAGATGTAACAGTATAAACCTTTTGGCATTTTTGGTTCCCGAACTTACTCAAAATTAACACATCACTATATGGACAGTAATAAAATCAGCTGCCTTTAAAGCATATGTGTGCTACCTCTTCCTGTTTAGAAATGTCTGGGAGCACTGTCAAGATCCTGCTATTACAAAAAGATACCCCCTTGCTTTTCAGAAGTAGAAACTATGGTAGCAGAGTACCAAAGCCTTATTTCTTGGCACCCCACGTCGCTGATCAGTCCTACAGCTTCGTCAGCAAAGACAATTTCACACACATTGCATTGCGTGCACTTGAGTTAACGGCCAGTTACAAATCCCCGGCCGGGTGTTGGATGAACAGCTCCCGTGCAGAGCTCTTGTCACAGCCCCCATCTCCCCCAGGAGGATGGGACACCCCCAGCCTACTGACACTTCAGCACCTGTACGTCTGCGCTTCACACTGCACACGTTCTGCACAGCTTTCCTCCCATCAGCCCTCACTGGTCATCACTTGTCAGCAGTGAAGACTCACCACAAGTTTGCAAATTTTACTCCCTTTCATTCTCTTTTAAGAGCATTTGGCCTAAAAATGGTATTTCCTTTCAACAGGGTACGCAGGTCTGTCTAAAAGTTTAGGTTTTAGTTTGATTTCCTCCAGCTTTGAGTAAATACTCTGGACTTCTGGCTCTAGCCTTCTTTTCAGTTCTTGAGCTGTGAAAGAAGCTATAGCCACCTCCTTCTACAAAATTAGTATTTTTCATTATGCAAACATCACTCTATGAAATTATTAAAAAGAAGTTGCCTACATCCACCAGGCCAGAAGTAATATACAAGAATTCCCTAAGTGCTGAGGACAAGGGACCTGGAGCTGTGGGATACTTTGGTGTCCCTTTCTCAGTGCATAACCACTGTTCCTGGGAGCCACTCTTCTCATGCAGTCACTGGCAAGCTCAGGCTTCTACTCCAAGACAAAGCACTTTCCTGAGAGACAAAAGAATCCAGTGTTCTTGTCACCACTTTCTGGATTACTTGAAGAAAGGGTTCTTTACTCACTTGGGTGAAACTCAGGCTTGCTCCTTTGTGGAAAGTTTTAAGTACAATTCAGTCAGCAGAGATTCTGGAAAGAGTCAGATTGTTAGGAACATGTAGTAGGAGAAATCTTACTCCCAGTTCAGCATCTGGACACTACTTGAAATACTCTTAGCAATAATTTAACTGGAAGACACATTCACAACATTAAGAACCAAATCCAAGTGTAAAAGCTGTTTTTCCACTAGCCTATTAGAAAATATACAGTATGGGTTAACACAGCTTTAAAAAATCTGTAATCCAAATTAACTTACTTCAGCTAAAAATTACATTCTTCCTGTCTGCATTTTCATGATAAATCTTAAGTACTAAGTACCCTTTTAAAATACACAATGTTTAAAAGTTTATTCTTCTCAATGAAAGAAGAGCTGAAAGAAACAGTCTCCCTTCTGTAAATTATTATATTACACAGGAAATTCAAATGCTTGTTGTTTTTTTTAAATCTGAGAAACAAGTTGTTTCCCCAAAAGACAAATATTCAGTGCCAACATCTAATTCGCAATAAATGCAGTAGGTAAAACTATCTTAAGGCAAAGCCTGAACTTTTCTATCACCTAGTTCCTCAATATACTAAAAAGGAGAGAAATAGAAATTTCTCTCAAAATCAGAAAGGCGAAAATAAAAGTCCAGCTACAACTTGAAATCTAGCAAATCCTAAAAGACACAAGATGATCTTTTAGCAAAGCTTTGGTTGAAAAAAGAATTTTTACACTGGCTTAATAAGCATGACCACTGAGATTTCTCTGCCCAACTAGGGGGTCTCACAACCTTTTATCTCAAAAATACTGGTGAAATTGATGAAAAAAAATAGCAGTTAAACCTCAAGGTGCTGTAAGATTGCAGTGAAAGATACTTGAATACGGATAGGTCAAAGATCTCTGCTACAAAATTGTCACTACAACACACAAAGCTTGTGAGTAGCTGTAGCAGCTGAGGCTAAAAAAAGGCCTGAAGGTTTTTTCCCCATCTTGCAAATTAACTGCTAAGTAAATATTTTTTTTTGCTGCCATTTTAAAGGTCTCCTGTGACAAATGAAAAAGCAGTAACATGCCACGTGTGGTATTTGGACATTTATATTGATATAAAACTGCAGGAATTTAGTAACAGTGCAGATGTATTCCCAATAACTAAACTGCAATAAAATTCTATAATCAAGTATTTAGGACATGTAACAGTTAAAATTATTAGGTATCACAGGTTTAGAATTGGTTCCTATATACAGAGTTTCTTCCAGAGAAGGCAAATTGTAGAATCTCAGTTAAAATATGAAGAAAACAAGCCTAGATTTCAATAGACTTAAAATCAGCTCAATATCAGTATAAGAAAGTACCTTAACTATAAGAAAGTACTGACAATGTATGGCTAAAGCCAACCAAGAGGGCAATGCAGAAATTGATAGATATGCTCATGTGTTTGTTTTTAGGCTGTTAAGTGGCTCTAGACTAAAATTTATTATTAGTAGTAGCATAATTTCATAAATTATTTTGGACTTCCATTGAAAATATTAATTTTAACCTTGCATCCTTTACCTTTTCAACTTCTACATCCAAATTCTGAGTAACTTACTCAATGCATAAAGATCTGCAGTAGCCACAGAACCCTGTAATTTAGTAGGCACAGAAAACAGGCATTTATTGAATATAGCTGTCTACCATTTATGAAAGTTTAAGACATTTGGGAAACCAGCAACCACTAGCAGTTTCACAAAGCCTAACTTCCTTTCTAAAATCTGCTGAAGTTCAATATGGAGATTTTTAATCATGCAAACAGAATACTTGAAATTAACACAGCATTCTTTAACACAAAAAACCCCAAACAGAAAAATAACACCTTTTGCAATTAATTAAAACATTTGGTAAAAAACCAGTTAAAACCGATTATATTTGTCTATTGAGAGTTCTGGGAGTTCACTTTCCTAACTTAACCTCACGACCGTACATAACTTACCAGTGTGTTTAGTTGAACTAACTACTGTAAACCCCAACAAATGATATCTAAGTCTTACATTATGGAATGGAAAGATGAAACTTGGATTCAGAGGTAGGCACAAGTTAAGTCTTTGTCTTTCATTAGAAGCTTTAAGATTTAAAGGAATGTTTGAGATTGGTTTCTTTTTTAGCTGTCTGTAAGATATAGGCCTTTCTTAAGTTTCAAAAACTGCAGGCTAAAATATTTTACTATCATGTGCTGCTCTAGAAAAAAAAAGAGAACCAATTTTTGGTCAAATGAGAGATGAGAATATCTATCACCCACCCCACCTTCATCAGCCAAATGATCCCTTTCAGTCTTCCTGAGCTTGGAAGCAAAAACCCCTTAATTTTCTCATGTACCTAATTTTTCAGTAGTACACTAGATATTCACGATATTGACACTGTAATAAGAGCACTTACATCAGTACTTTATTGTTCATGTTAACGCATGTTCTCAGAAATGTACATATATCACTGTAGGGGAACATCTCATGTTAGTCTTTGTGCACTCACCCATGTCTAGGCATAGTGTGAAGAAACATTAATGGATTGTGTCAAAACGTTAAAGATTAAATGGGAATGCTTATTCTTTTATTCCGATTACCAGGATAATTTAAAACCGTTGAGGAATACTTCTTGCTTACAGAAGTCCTTCTTATAGAAACCATTTTTCTAAGTGCTCATTCCAAGTATTACTGTGGCATATAAATAAAATCCTTGTTTCAAGCAGAAGGCTCCAAATTTGCTTTGGGACAAAGAATCACTTTGTACCAAAGAAGCTTTCTGCTTTTAGAAGTTATTTCAATTTCATGGTAAGAGTATTCTTGTCACATTTGACACTAAAACGTAAAACCACTCTGGTAGGCATTGCCTTTCACAGACAAAGTCTGCTCTTATAGCTGAGCAAGAGATGACAGACAGGCAGGCCAAGATAAGTTAGTCTCATTTTCTGTTTATCTGGAAGCAATTCCAGTTGAGATCAGTTGAAATAGCAGATCAATTTTTTTGTATTTTTAAAGAGTGAAGTATTGTAATATCAGCATCCTTTACCAAGCAATACAAGCGCAGGTTACTTGTACACAACAGAAATGTGACTGCTATCAACTTTTGCTGCCAGTGAGTTTTATGTTAAGACTACATCTGTAATCCCGGATGTGAGAATGTCTAATGTCTCATTTATGGTACCCCCTCACCTCCCCCATCCCCACTTTCAATCAATTCATGTTTCTTCTTTTGTCTTATTGCCAAGCATCGTGCAATGCCCAGTGCACCTCCTTTTAAAAACCGTACGAAGTTGTCTCCCACCAGAGGCCCTAAAGCAAAGAGGTTGGCTTCTTTAGTGCATTCGTAAGTGTATGGATCAATCTCTATAGGATTCCCCTTGCACGTGATGGGCTGATTAGAGTGATGACCTATGCTATGTCCTTGGTCCTTTAAAAAGAAAAGATTTGGGTGAGAACCTATCAGAACTAATGCTACAGAAAACTTCAAAATTTTCTTCAGTCCGGAGGCACTCTGAAGAACACATTTCATCTCAGGCTTGAAGGAAAGTACCTTGTGTTCAGGGAAACTGGTGTAAGCAGAACGTTGGTTAGAGTCCACGGTATGAGACTGAGTACACATCATGTGATAGACCTTATGGTACTCAGGGTAAAGCTTTTTAGGTAACTGTTTGAAAATTAGGCTTGTGTCGGTAACTCTTCTACGAAACACATGGACTACCGGGATGTTGTTGTTATAGGCACATAGTACTGCATCAGCTGCTGTCAGTCCAGCACCCACAATCAACACAGGGTCTGCCTTCCCACGTAACTTTCCTTTGCTGATTGCAGCTCCGAAGTCAGACATGGAATGGAGGACAAAAGGAAAGTCTTCTCCTTCAACTTGCAGTCGGCCAGGAGAATCAAAGGTTCCAGTTGCAAGAGCCACATTCTCAGCAAAGAGGCAGAAGGGCACATGAGAGCCGTCTGCTGCTCGCTGATAACCTCTGACTTCCCAGTTTCTCTTAATAAGTGATTTCTGTCCATCTTCCACTTCCAAATGCTGTGTGGAAATATCTTCATTTTGGTGACTTCTACCTTCATCATCCTTTTCTCGGTAAAGCCTGGACACTGATGTTATGTAAACATTGTCTCTGAAATTCTTTTGGAGGCCCATGACTTTAACATAGTGTTTATAATAACAAGCTATTTCCTCTGGCATTACTCGATCACTCTTTATATTTCTGAAAGAAAATTGAATGGTTCTGGTTAATAAACAGACCTTATTGGTAATTTGAATATCAGATATGATATACCACATGACAGGCCAAGCTCATGAGGACTGAATCTGCTCAGTGTAAATGACACTGAGTTCAGCATCTTTAGGCATTTGATTTATTTGTTCTCTTGTTTCCTGATACACAAGACCAACTAACTTTTTAAACATAGTTTTAAATGTTTAAACAATGTAAATTGCTATGGTGATTAACAAATAAGGTGTAACAAAACTCTGGAGTATCACAGCAGCTCCACATGGAAGTGTTTTACAAAGTTTAACATCACAACTATCAATAATACAGTACTGGTTAAACTTGTACCCAATGAGAATACACTTACTTACGATCCAATTAATTAAATGTCATAGTTAAGTGCTAATTTTGAAACTCTAGGTTCAATATGTTACTGGAACCAAGTATTCATTATGATTTACAAAAGACCTCTCCCTTGGGTATGGTTAAGTTCACTAAGTATCAAATGAAGTAGTCCCATGTCACCTGAATGAGCAAAGCAAACATGACACAGAGTGTTAATGCAACTATGTAAACAGGATTGTAAGGTTCAAGTGTTCAATAAAAACCATTTTTGCACTGCAACCCTGCTATTACATCTGTGCTTTTCTCATTATTATAGCAGTCTTATTTATAAGAAAATTAGCTGACAGTGTAATTATTTGGAACAGTTGCATGAATTTTGCTGCTTCTTTAGAAGTAAGCTCTAGGAAAAGGGCAAAACAAACTGTAGTGAACATGAAAATTGCCACTAAATTGCACTTAAAATCATATTTACAAGTAATCAGGCTACTCATTTTCTTAGACTAACAATGCAGTACATGTTCTTTTAAATGCTCAGGTTACTACTCTGGAAATCCTCATGAGATATTTATTGGAAGAGAATAATGTGACAGTGTGACACCTCTTGCAAGGAAACTTAGGAAACTGTTCTACAGAACTAGAATTTTACATTATCATCAGTTCTTTTAAATAAACTCATTTAATTGTAGTATAACAGGTCAGCACTTCTGGTTTTAGCATTGTTGAAAACCATAATACATAGCTTCAGATAATAAGCAGCTTATGAGATTTCAGATAGGGAAGGAGGCAAGATTGCTGTGGTTATCTAAGAAAAGGATTAAAGAACAAAGCTACAACTTCCTCACTTCAAGGGTTGTCCTGAAATGAATAACAGTCTGCCCTTAAAGACATATGCTCAAGTAACTGTACTTCTTCTTTTCCTATACATGGTACAAAACCAGCTTCCTTTAATTTTGCTAGAACAAAGTCAAAAAAATTAAAATTTTAGAAAAAGCTCATGTAGAGTGTTCCTAGGTCGATCTGCTGACACAGACCTTTATGAACTGAAGTAAAACCAGTGAGCTTGCACAAGATTAACTTTTCTTCTCAAGTTTTTTCAAGAAACTTATTGCTACAAATTAACAAAGAAATACTGAATTATTCTCTTAAAATTAAAATTCATAGATTTCAGGTGCTGCAGCTTTGCCTGTACAAGCAAATGCTGAAATATTTACCTTCCTGAATTGCAAGAAAGCCTGTGTGCGCAGCAACTTCAGCTGCATGGGTGTTGAAAGAGGAACTTGCAATACCTCCTTCAGTGGATTTCAAATTCCTTCCTCCATCTTCCCTCACCTCTGATCAGAACTGCTTTCAGCAAGTGCCTCTTTCTGAAATGCTGCTGGAACACACTGCTGCCTGTACGTTTGCTTTCAATGCACTCACCAGCAATTATTCTGCCTGACCATTGTCAAGGTTTTTTCCACCAGAATACACACAGCAGAAGAATTTCCAGTGCCATCAGGCAATTTAATAAACTACACAAGAAACTGTCCTGTGAACAGTAAAGTTTGAGTTCTTTCCAGGTATCTGGATTTTTATAGCCACTAGGATTCCCAAGTAGATTCTGCAGTATCTTTACCTGCGTTTGCTAGCTGCCCACTCCTTGAAGCTGAGGCCAGGCAATTCCATCCAGTCTCCAAAACTGATGGTTAGCATAGAGCCCTCCATGGACTATGGAGAAAATATGAAGATGCATGATCAGACACATTTCAAATTCAAATTTCAATTCAAATGTAAAATGTAAATTTCAAAAAAAAAAAAAAATTCAAATGTAAAAACCAGCGAAGCTCTTCTCATTGTACTCATTTAGAGCAACAAATACCAGAACACAACATAAAACCAGGACATTAAATGAAGAACTGAAGAACTATTTCTGTGTTACACTTAGATAATAAGCAACCACATGAGCTAATAAAGAAGGTGAAGAGAGAGCATGTGAAAGGGAAACTAAAAGCAAGTAATTTTAAATACAAAAGAGGAAGGAAACACAACACATGTGAAAGCAGCATCATATAAAGACACCAAAATTTAAGACTGTACAAAAGCACCTGGAAACAATGCAGACAAGAAAAAAAAAGTTATAGAAAATACTCTTCATTTATAATTCATTAAATGTGAACTAACAAAAAAATGGGTAATATAAGACAGCACTCATGGTTGCAAACACCCAAGTAAAGGGCAACTTCTTCCTTCCCTTCTCATGGCTCCCACTTACTTGGGCTTTGCTAATGAGCCACTGAAACTGCAACTGACACTACCATCTAAAACAGCCCTAGAGTAAGGCAGCAAGAAAAATCCCAAAACACAGAGTAATCAAGTTACTCTAGGAGCGAGATGAAATTCTTACTCACATGCCAAGCCCCGCCAGGTGGTCCTTTTCCAAGCACTATGTGGGGAATATAATTATGTTGCTCTAACTTCCAGTGCAGAACAGGCGGGTAGTCATAGCCAAAGTCAGCATCCGGGTGAAGCAAGGTATCAAAAAGCACTGCAACTGGGTTTGAGGAGCGTCCTTCCAGGCCTTCTGACAGGTACTCCAGATCCTGAAGCATGACAAATTTTAAACTTTTAATGTCATCATGCTATTCTGATGTGCAGAAGTTGAATTGCAACAGAAAACACAATTCAAATTGCATTTTAGGTAAAGGTATTTAATGTAGAGAGTCAATCAAAACACTTTTCAGAAATAATTGCTATGATTCAGTTCTTTGTAACTCTGAATAGTACATCTCACTCATTTTAAAATTACATATTAATAACAGTAATTCTGGGGCAAGTTCAGTATTTGTAGAACAAAGAAGTATGTGGACAAATAGAGATCAGAGCAACTTAGTAACAACTGCATTTATAGACAGCAGACTGCTTTTAACAAAGGACTGCTAATATTTCTAGGAGCCCCATTTTGATAAAGCAAAATTGGAATCTAAAACCATTAAACTTTAAACATAAAGTATAAAAGGCTCTTTTGACAGCTCTTGGCTTGTTTCAGCACTAACTGTATTATATATTAAAATAATGAAGATAAAATAAGCATTATTTTTAAAAAGTAAAACTAGGATTATTTTACACACCAGTTAATGTTGAGAAAAATTTCTAGAATTTTGTAAAGTTCACATTTCATCATGTATTAACCAGTCTTGTTCTAATAATTGAAAAAAAATATAAATTAGGAAATATTTGAAGAGAAAATAGAGATTTGAAGAAAGAACTGGACATAAGACCAATTTTTGCTGACAAAAATTTGCTGACAGTACAGCTTAGCTTCCTAATTAGTCAAAGTATCAGGGGGTTGGGAGAGGATGAAGTACATGAAACATCTCTAGCCAAAACTTAGGCAACTTACTCTCCTGCAAAAGAAAAAGCCCTTGAGATCTAGTGTAAACATCACGTGCAAGTAGCACAGCACTGAAACAAAAACACCCTCCAAAATCCAAAGCCAAACAAACTCCTATTTTCCCCCTACAAATATAAATCCATGTTTGTATTTAAAGGCAATACAGTGAAAACATTGTCAATAATCCACCAGGAAGTACAGTGAGGCGAGTGGAAAACAGTGCTAAACCATGGCAAACCAATGGACAAGTGGAAAGAAAAATGCTGGAGAAGATTTAACTAATCAAATCAGACAAAAATTTGACATATACATGGGTAACAACTACAGCACAAGTGCAACTGTCAATACAACACAAACACTGAAGGATGCATACTGTTCCAAAAAGAAAAATGGATTGTGTTTATAGATGATATATGTCCCCAGTACAACTAAAAATGAAATCATAGTAAGAATTGGAGTATTTAAGAATATTTTAACTTGAACTATGTGTACTTTATGTATGTTAGTAGCACGTGTTCCTTGGTGATAGTGCCCAAACATCCCAGGACATGACAACTGGAATTCCTGCATCAGCCACTGGCCAAGTCAGGCTTTAGACACTCCTGGCAAGTAGTAAGAACACAACAAAGAGCAGACTGTAAAACCAAAAACCACCACAAACTAAAAGCCTTCAAGAGCCACAAACAACACTACACAGCCCAGGTTTGGATCTAACGGTCATGAGTTGATTCTATTTAAATTAACAGAATAACAAAATAACTTATTAATGCACTAATGCTTGCAGTAGAAAAAGAGCTAGACAAGAAGGTAACCAAAGCTTACTTGGTCAACAATGGAAAGATGTCGAGCTTCTTCTAATTTTGTATGTAGAATGGGGTTTGGGTGTATAGCTTCAGGAGACAAATATGGCCTGTATCCAGAGAGCAGGTAAGAAAGGCAAATTCCTGAAGGTCCATTTCCTATTAAAGTAGAAATTTACTGCTTTAGTAAAAATGTTTATAATCTACAGTTTGTTAATCAGTAAATATACAGCAACAAAATAATACTGAAGTGGTATAATGCCAGAGTGTCTTGATTTCAAAGCAGCTTATAAACTTTGCAGTAAAATAGAGCTTTTTATAGGACCATCCTCCAAATAAACAGTGCAAAATTTTTTTCAGTTAAAGAGAAACAAATGTGTGACTTTTATACCAGGAAGCAAAATGCATATAAAGAAGTTCCCTAATTTACTATGTCACATTCACTACTGTGTGAAAATGGCCTGACAGATAATGGTCTGCCTGTCACAGTGACAGCTGAATATTATTGCCATCTTACAACTTTGCATTCCCACAGGCACTGTACAACACAGAGCACAAAGACAATCTGGATTACATGCTCTTCAGGTCTGTCCATAAAATAAAGGGAAGACACAAGCAGAAAGCTTAAGACTGAAAGTCAGATGAGAAGTTAGACACTGTAAAACAGCAACATAAAAGGTAAATGACCACAGACCTCCTGTGGGTAAGTGGTAAAGTACAAGAAACTCACATAAGGCCCCGTTCATGCTCAGGAAGAGTAAGAAATCAAACACCTTTATTTGTTTTGTAGCATTTTCAATTTGTATATGTGTACTGCTGCAATTTTAATAGAAAGTTATTTTTAAAATGTTTTTAAAAATATGAGATAGATGGGACCAAAATATTACCATAAGGTAAAAATTTCTATTTATTTGACTCGTATTAAACAAAGCAGGGGACCATATTTATCACAAGCAAATACAGAAGTAACATTCATGTCGCAAAGTCAGACACCAAAAGTTACAGAAAGCTAAATCAGAAAATATGTGCTGTGATAAAAAAAATTAAATATGTGGCTATGTGTTGTTATTTCTATAGCTCCTCTTACTCATTAACTGAATGAAAAGCACAGTGCTCTCCTAATGAGCCAGCTGTCAGTACTTTGTCTTTGTTTCCACACATGGTATTTAGCACACACTATGCAAATTCTGGGTTTAAGTTACTAATTTATTCTTACTTTAATATAGCAGGCATTGTTGGATGTTTGTTCTTACTTCTAAACCGTTTCATCTCTTGATGTCAAGAGTTCACAGGTCACTTACTTTTCCCCATCACCTTTGCACACACTATTTTCATCACCTGTTAACAATCCCACTTCTCCAATGCCTGTCTCTTCTCCCTTTTCTGATTCCTCAGTTCTAAATCCCTCATTACTTTGCTGAGGTCCTGTTCACTCCCAGTTTCTTCAAATATTGAATCTCTTTTTCCTCTTTCACCAGGCTATACTCACCTGGTCCCCAGCGGCAGAATATCCCATACTTTATTACAATGCTGTGCACATAGACTGGTCACAGCCATAGTCTACAAGAAAATAATCTAAAGAGAGTGAAAAAGTTCTTCCTTACTCTCACACTGTTCTGCCCTCCCACAAAAAGATCAACATAAGATAGGTGGACGTGCTTCAGTCCAGGAATTTAAAGCTTAAAGAAGATGCAAGCCCCTCCTGTCACCCATTCGCCATGAGACAGATGTGAGAGAGAACTGTAGCTATACAGAGAAACTATCCATAACAAAATCAAATAAAATGATGAAAGCACTTTAATCATACCAGTAGTTCACAAGCATTTCCATGACTGAGTAAATTCTTAACTATTTTTAGAATTATAACTTGAATTTTTGATGTTTTTACAATTGCACAGCTAGCTTATTTTCCTGCTGGGATATAAAGAAAGCCCAGCCACAATGGAAAGAGGAAAATGCTTGCCCTAGCCAAGAATGCCATGCTGAAGATCATTCCTACTGGATAACTAAATGGGTAACAAATGTCACCCAAACAAAGACTGGCAAGGGCCAAGGAGATTACTGAGGATGGGATGGATGGGTTATGTCTAGGGCTTAAAGGCATCACTTCACAAGGATCCATCTTCACACCACTGCCAACTTTAACCAGCCTCACTTCTCTCTGGATGGAGATTTGTTGAGGTGAAGTCCATCAGTGTGTCCTGGTGGCCAAGAAGGCCAATGGCATCCTGGCCTGTATCAGCAATAGTGTGGTCAGCAGGAGCAGGGAGGTCATTCTTGCCCTGCACTCAGCACTGGTGAGGCCACACCTTGAGTGCTGTGTCCAGTTCTGGGCCCCTCAGTTTAGGAAGGACGTTGAGACACTTGAGCGCGTCCAGAGGAGGCAACGAGGCTGGTGAGGGGCTTGGAACACAAACCCTGTGAGGAACGACTGACGGAGTTGGGGTTGTTTAGCCTGGAGAAAAGGAGACTCAGGGGTGACCTTATCACTCTCTATAGCATCCTGAAAGGTGGCTGTGGTCAGGTGGGGTTTGTCTCTTTCACCAGGCAGCAACCGGCAGAACCAGAGGACACAGTCATAAGCTGCACCAAGGGAAATATAGGTTGGATATTAGGAAAAAGTGATATCATGGAAAGAGTGATAAACTTCTGGAATGGCCTGCCCAGGGAGGTGGGCACACTATCCCTGGTTGTGTTTAAAAAAAGACTGGGTGTGGCACTTGGTGCCATGGTTTAGTTGAGGTGTTGTTAGGGTATGGGTTGGACACAATGATCTTGATAGTCTCTTCCAACTTAGTGATTCTGTGATGTTAAGGTGAATTACTGCCACTGAGTTCCCTGAACTTTTGTGGGACCATCCAGAGAGTTGATCCATACCCAGCTCCTACTCTTTAAGCAGACTGAAGCCAAGGGAAAGGAAATCCCCTGAGGATATGCTGTTAAGAACACACAGGATGAAGGTTCAGCTGCAAGGTCTGCAATTAGACTTGCTATGGTTTTTTCAGAAAATTCTTGGGAAAAAGAGAAAAAATCTTTTTGAAATGACAAATTTTGTTTTTAATTTACACACAGTGCCTCCGATAAGGCCTCTGACTGCAATTAAGAGATACGACTATTACACAAACTTCAGTTGTGCAATGAATATAATCAGAAACCCCATGGCCCTGTTCATTTAAGAAGCAGTTACAAGTTTGTTTGAATATCAGCAAAATCTTCTCTTGATCAACAGCAAACTGTAGCACAATCACCTTTACATTATGTGTCTAAATTTAAAGCAAATATTCAACTTCAAGTATCGTAACAGCCTTGTTATTTGGATAAGAAGTGACAACATTCCACATAGTAACGATCAAAACTAGTGCAGAAGATGAAAATGTTTAGCACAGAATACATTCTAAACTTAATAGTTTCAGCACGAAATTGTTCAACCCCGATGGAATGTAGCTGTTTCTTCCCAACACGGGCACTGCACACAAGTTACTAAACCAGCAGAGTGTGTTCATACATGGAGGGGGCAGGGGCGATGACAACTATTTTCATACTCCTCTACTACATTATCAAATCATTTTAGATCCCTTTGAAGGCTCTTCAGTAATAACAGGCTGTCAGTGGAGAAGATCAGCTTGCAAGGTGTCTCAAATATAGCTGTGAAGAAGCATTTGGATGATGGAGAAGTGGTCAAGGCAGCTGTGTTTGGTGTCAGCACCCAGAAAGGCGCTCTAGACAAAGTAAGTATTGAACACAGGTATTTGCATAACACATATTTGCAAAACTAAACAGTGAAAACTGAATCATAAACCATATGACAAACCTATACTAAGGCTGACAAAATGCCAGGACACCATTCTCTTCAACTGTGATGCACAACTCATCAAGTGATTCACGTCTGTCACATATACGTAAGTCTGCTTCATGAGCACTATTTTAAAGTACCACAAAGAGAGCTTTGAGGACAGGCACTGTACAAACACCAGTCTTTCAAAGTTGTGGAGACACTGTGAACACGATTGTGTTGCAACATCAATCTCCAAAATCTTTGCTTGTTTACAGGTAGGTACTTGCTCTAGTCCCAACAGCTTTGGACTAGATTATTGAAAACCTTCTTTACTTCAAATCTTTTCTTTATCCCCTCATGAAGTCATGGCAAGAATGAGCCGGTGACCAGCTGTTGTTGAAAAACCTTGGTCCAATACACATTATGCTGGCACTCTCAATTAAGTTGTGTACCTATGGAGCTTCCTCCCTCTCTCCCTCTGTTACCCTGTCATTTTAAAAGTACAAGCCCTTAAGTGTTCTATCAAGACTACAATTTATTATTTTAAACTAGTCAAATTGAGCTGGATTCACTTTGGAAAAGATGGGAGAATATTTAGATATTAGTGATGGATGCAGCAGAGAAAAAGGCTATTAATGAGAGGTTAGCACCTAACCAAGCTTTTCACTCTTCCACATGACCCCACAGATTTCTACTGGTGTACCACTGACAAACACCATGCATACAGAAATAGATATATCACATTAATCAAACCCTATGTTATTAACACTAGAATCAATACAGTTCTTCTGTTAATACTCCCATATCTGCTGCTAAATAACACAGCTGATTTTTTCAAAGCACAATTTCAATTCAAATATACACCAACAAGTCCCTTAACATAATTAACATAATGTTAATTATAACAACTATATTACTCTAATAAAGATCTTCACTGTAAGGGTTCTAAGCATTATTTATTTATTGATAAATTATTTAATGCAGCAGTTCGATAAAGGCAATGGCACTGACAGTGAATCTTTAAAAAGGGAAAAAAACTCACCTATTATTACTACAGGCAGGGTAAGAAGGGAGTCCCCAGGCAGAACGGTTTCTTCAATTAAAGGCATTCTTTTAATCTTCCTCCCAAGGCTGTCACCAAAGTACTGAACAAAGGAATTCAGAAGCTGTCCTTCGGTTTCAGTGCCGCTGTAAGTTCTAATTAAGAAGGACAGATGGGAGAAAACTAAAGTGAAACAGTGAACTGTTGTCAGAACAGACTCTTCAAAAATAGTCGCTTTTGATGTTTTACTTAAAAAGCTACGAAACTGGTGAAATTGAGACCAAAACAGATATGTTTTATCCAATCTACACAATTTTACTCTTCAGCACAGCTTTTCTAACAGAAGATTTTCTAAAAGTCTACTTTCTCCTAGCAAGTCTACAGAAGGATAACAAAAAGGCACAGATGGCTCTGTAGAAGTGCAGATTTCTAATCTCAGTTTATACAAAGCCAAAGTATAGCCACAAGCATTATTTTGATCCCACACACAGTAGAACTCATTCCTCATTATCCTTATCAAATCAGGAGATACACACTGCCTAGCCAATTAACAACATCAAGGCCAGACAAAGCCTGAAGGAGCAGCTAAGGTACAACAGCAACGTTCATATCCCTTCCTGCTGGCTGAGCAGCAGACAGGACTTCACCTTAACAAATCTTCATTCAGAGAGAACTGAGGCTGGTTAAAGTTGGCAGTGGTGTGAGGATGAATCCTTGTGAAGTGATCCCTTTAAGCACTAGACATAACCCACCCTACCACTATTAAAAGTTTTTACAGAAGGAATTGCCATGTAGTCAGGTCAGCTCCTGCACAGCAGACTGCTTTCACCACTGGCCATTTTCCTAGATTTTTCTGTTCTTTCTCTGAAAAATACGTAAGTTTCTCTTGTAACTCTTCACCGTGTAGATGTACTTCTAGAATACAAAGACATGTCTTATAATGTTTTCTGTTTAATTAGGAGTCCTTTCTGAAACCTTTCCAGGCCACTGAAGGAGCACACAAACTATCAGTCTAGCTAGAAAGAGTAAAATTAAAAACAGTCTGTTACTGTAGTTATTTTGACAAGTCTTTTGTAAAGTAAAGACAACCAATTTTTAATCAAAAATACCACTGTCAAGAAGGGGATATTTTTTAGAAAAATTTCTGAAAATTTTTCTCTTTATAAGCATTATTAATTATCAATAATAAATAAGTACTCTTATCTATTTCCTAAGACTTTGCATATCTTAAAACTATTCTAGTGTTTTAGCCATTATTTTCTACACAGGATCAAAAACTGCAAGACGCTGATCCAATTCCCAGGGACTTCAAGAAAGCACGTAAACCATGTACTGCCTCAACTCCCACAGCGTCCAAGATTCTGTTTTAAAAGCCTTTCCTCAATGGGGAAGTCTGAAGTAAACTGGAGACAGAGTCGTGCAGTAACAACAGCAGTAGCACAATCTGCAACACATCTCTCTGATGGCATTGTTAAAAAGGGTGGGGAGCTATTCTGAGGTTGCATTCATTTTGGAAAGTACTTGATATCACTATTCCCTGCAGTACAACAGAAAAAAAAAAAAAAAGGAAATTGCTTACTGTTTGATTACAGCTGCACATTAGCTCTTGCAGACACCTAACATCCACACAGCATGAGTTAGATGAAGACAAGGAGTCAGCGATGGGATATCTAATTATCATACTGATTTTTTTCAACTCTGCTTTTAGAAAGGAGCAGGTTGACTGTTTTATTTTCCAGCCTTTGCTCAAAGTTGACTAAGGCAATGCTACCTTATGTTTTGTGAAAGACAGGCTTAAGGGGAGCACGCATGCTTTAGCGTGGCTTTACTATACTTGCAGTGCTTGATGGAACATAAAACCAAAAGAAACATTTCAAAACTTCTTTTAAGAGATATATGCACAAAGCTGTAGGCTACAGAAGAATTGTTTAAAAATAAAAGCTTAAAATAATAGCTTAGTGTATCACAAATTACCAAATTGGTGATTTTGCACAGGAACATCTGCACACAATGTGCAGTTTCTCGTTCTTTGCACAAGAACACCTGCACACAAAACGCAGTGCATATGAAGGAGTGCTGTCAGCAGCATGTTCTTCCTTTGCAAGAACATCAGACCAGCAAGATCTGAAATTAGGGGCCACCACCTTCCTAACCTCTGAGCAGCACTAAAATCCACCAAGTACCAGCAGTTTTTACCTTGATAAAGCTCACTGTAGACAGCTTTGCAGTGGTGGGGACTTGGCACAATCACCTACAGCTCTAGTCCTGCAGACATGCAAGTGGGCATAAGATGAGTCAGTTCCAACACTAGCGCCTGATTTATCTTATACTGGTCACTCAAATAACCTGGGGGATTACATTCTGTCAATCGCCCAGATTCTAAACATATGCAAAAATGTGCCTTCACGGTTTTGCCTTTTTTTTTTCCCTCCCATTTGAAAAAGCTAATAATAATAATAATTTGATAACAACTCGTTATTTGTTGCAGGTTATTAAAATAAATGGTACCTTTTCTAGGTGGCCGTTTTGAAAGATGCAAGAATACACTGCGCACTTTCAGGGGAAAAAAAAGGAAAAAAAAAAAGAAATAAAGGATCGGACTGTGATGGGCGGTTAACAGAAAACTCGTTACATAAAAGGAATATGAATTTGGTCTCAACCTGACACTTTGAGAAGAGACTCTACCACTGCCAGACTGTTGGATTTCGTTCGGGTAAGCGGGCGGAGCGGTGCCCCTCAGGGCCGGCATCGCGGGCGGTGCAGCGCTGCGAACCTCGGAGCGACACCGAGCATCAGCGGACGCGGGCTGCCCCCGGCCCGGCTGCGCCTCGGCGCTGCCCAAGGTCACGGCGAGCCCGCCCGGGCCCCGCCGCCGTCACCCCTTCTTCGGCGGGGCCGTACGGGGCCGGCAGCGCCGCGCTCGGCGCCGCAGCCCCGCGGAGGCCGCAGCCCGGCCGGTGTCCCGGTCCTGGCCGCACCGCCCCCGCCCGCCACCCGCGGCCCGGCTCCCGCGGCGGCTCACCGCCCCCCGCCGCCGCCTCACCTGAAGTGACCGGCCAGGGAGCAGCGGCAGCACCACACGGGCATGGGGAGCGCCGGCGGGGCCCAGCGATGAGGCTGCGGGGAGACACCGCACGCCGGCTCCCGCTCCGCCTCCTGCCTCCGCCACAGTGGGATCCACACCGCGCGGTCCCTGCTCCTCCCCGTTCACATGCGGCACCGGGTCACACGCGGGAGGAGGAGCCGCCGCCAGCACCGGCAAGGAGGAGGGACGAGCCGGGTGAGCAGAAAGGAGGAGAGAAGCGGAGGGGAGGGGAGGGAAGGGAAGCGGGGAGGAGAGTGCCGCTTCCTCCTGCCAGCGCTGAGGCGGCCCCGCGGCCCCGCTCCCGCAGGAGGATGCGGGCTGCGCCGCCTCCCCCGGGGAGGGCGGGGAGCCCCGGCCGGCACGGGCAGCCCCGGCCTGGCACGAGCAGCCCCGGCTGGCACGGGCGCAGGGCCGGTGGAAGGCGGCGCAGCGGCGCGAGGCAGCGCCGCGGCCCCGTGAGGGGCTGCCCTTCCTGAGGGGAATCACACCGCGCTGCGGGGCTGGCCGGGGAGGATCCCGGCCCGCAGCGTCCTGCTGTGCTCCATCGGGTTTCTCGAGAGACGCGCATGAAGAAGTTGACAGAAATCAAACAATTAAAATTTTTTCGACGCACTTTTTCACTAACAGCATTTTGGCTAGCATTCGGGAACAATGCTACTTATGTGATCAGTTAGGAGCTTTGAATTGTGTCTTAACATAAATATTTTGCAGGAGTGCTTATCTAGGGAGAAAGCATTCTTTCCCTAATCACACCCATCCAGTGACTGTGGTTGGCAGGAGCTCAGGAGGTCATCCTGTCCAAGCCCCTGCCCAGTCGGGGCCACCCTGAGCCAGCTGACCAAAACCAAGGCCAGGTGAGTTTTGACTATCTCCAAGGATGGAGAATTCATGACCTCCCTGAGCAACTTGCTCAGGTGTTTGACTACTCTGACATTGAAAACGTGTTTCCTTATGTTCACGTGGATTTTCTTGCCTTTGTTTGCACCCATTGACTCTCATCCTTTTCCGGGGAACCACTGATTTCCCTCCCATTTTCTGATTAAGTCTTCTTAATATCCTCCCATTTATGGATTAAGGATCCCTCTAACCCTTCTCTTCCACAGGCTAAACAGTCCCAGCTTTCTAAGCCTCTGCTCATGTAGTCAGTCTGCTGTCTGAGACACCCATGTCTTACACTACTTTTCTCTCTCAAAGTCTGCCAAACAATAAGAGTGAATGCCAATAAATCTATGACTATTTATTAAACAATTACAGCCTTCTGCACAGAGTTAAACTTGGCAGTTAGGAATGTCTTCATTGTGAATCTGTTCTATAAATCCACAATACCAAGATCTTACAAAGCTGTGGAAGTGCTGTGTCTGAAGTAGCCATTGGCAGCTGACAGTCCCAGTTCACCTCAAGGTTGTTCATTCAACACTGTCATGTCTTTAGTCAGAAAATATTTACTGTTTAATAGTCTGGTCTGGTCCCAGTACAAAGGAGGACTTTATTAGGTATGTGCTCTGTAAAAGCTTAAGGTAAAAGAACACAGGAGCTGAGCTGTACCACTGAGGAAATACAGAATATTGTTATAAAATATATATTTTGAAAGTATGAAACATATTCAGTTAAACATATTGTTCTTCAAGTGCAGCGCCAGGTCTAATATGTCTTTAGATCTGAATTAACAACCTTGCTCTGTCCTCAAAAATACTGCCTTTAGTCCAGGAAACTGTGTGAGTGATTTTGTTGACCAGATAACTCATACTATTTGAATATTCATACTGTTTTATTCAAGCTGTGTACTGCTTTTCAATGAGTTGCAGAAAACTACAGCAGAAATTGAATTTTTTTTTTTCACATAATAGTTTGCTCATAGTCAGGACAACCTCCTCCCAGGTACAAAACTCTATGTCTTCAGGACCTCACATTTCAAGGAAACTAGCTATAACCAAGCAAATGTTTTTGGGGTTTCACCAGTTACTTGGTGGCAGCATCAGATGACATTGACTTCAAAATTAATGTATAAAGGATGTTTTTGGCTTTAAGTACCACCCTTATTTTCTCCCATAAACAAGTCTGGCTCTCTAGAATATAACACAGAACTTCAACTATACTGGTACTATTATTAGTTTGTGCTATCTTTATGTACATACACTTGAGAAGGAAAGCAAACACATCTGTGTCCATGTCTAAGATTGGGACATGTCTTCCCCCAGCATCCTTTCACATTTAAAATTAAAATATTATATTGGACCTTATGTTTGTGATATAAAGAGGTGCTTTGGAAAAAGTGCTGATGGGGCCTCCCTGAAAATTATGTTCTGCATGGATGTCCTGATTTTCAATGAATTGTTTCTCCCAGAAGTAAAATTTTCTGTTCCCTTTAAATTCTACATGTTAACTTGAATTTTTCAAATGTCTTAGTTTTGTGGTTGGGATTTACTTAAATTCCATGTCTCAGAATAAAATGTATTTTCTTTAGATGTACGTTTGTATTAATTTTTTTCACTAAGGTTGGAACACATGGGAAGAGACTAAAACACATCAAGCCACAGCAAACATTTCCTCATTTTAAAGGGATCTATTTTTCCTGTTGAGTTCATTTTTGTAAAGAGATTTGCATACTTACTGGCTGTTAGCTTTATTCCAAATCTTTACATTTTAAATCATGCTAGCCAATTAGCTAATTTAAATCTCCTTTCTTTTGCTAACACTCACTATACTAATTTAGTAATAAAATTGTACATTTGTTCAAGAATATTCTTTTTCAAAATCAATTTAATTTGAAAATATTTTTCCCCAAGTATTCAGGAAGTCATTATCTCAACTATTGATGCTGGAAGCACGAGGGTATTTTTAATAAAACTTGTAGCTTCTCCTGATCGACTGACTGGTAACTAAATATGTTTAGTACTTGATGCTGCAGAATTCTTAAAAATCCAGCCTATGGTGGGAGCATCAGAAAAGGAGGCTGTTGCCTCAAATCAGGATACACAGCATGGGAAAAAAGGACTTCATCCTCTTCTGTAGAAGTGACATGATCAGTGAGTAGCTGAAGAATGACTCCAACGGTGTGTTGAATGCAACCTGCATGTTATAATACAGCATGCAAAACAAGGAAAGTAACTGCAACATTCTGGTAAGATTCCCAGTCCCCACCCACTGCAATATGAGATTAAAGTACAAAATAAGTAGAACATAAACCTGCAAGGCTTCAAATGTCACTACAGGATTATTATCAACTCTGTCTGAATGAATAATGCACTATCTCAGTTCTGGAGCTTACCCAGGAGAGATGTCTCAGCAAGAGCAAACTTGCTCCCTGTGACATCAAATGACTCCAAAAGATGTGTGAACTGCAAGGCCCAGCAAGTGATAGAGTAGTGAAACATTTTCTGAGATTAGCAAATAGAAAGATTGCCACAAGCCTGTGGCACTCAGCCCGAAGCACGAGGTGCTGAAAAAAGGCCAGGAGAGATTAAGAAGGGTTGAGTTTATTTGCTCTCAATACTGTTAAGCAAGGTGACAACTAGACAGCCTAGCTGCAAAACAACTTTCTGCCTGGCCAAGTTTAAAAAAAAAAAAATTGTGAAAATGGGGGAGTCTCAGTGAAGAAGTTCTGTTGCAGATGTAACAGATTCTGCCAGAAATTCAAGCTACTTATCAAGAGGGACCAAGAAAAGATGCTTATAAAACTATCTTAAAGGAGCAGTTCTGTAAGGTTCCTGAGTTATTTTCATCACCTGTGAATAAAATTATTTCCAGTGGTCCTTTTCAGATATTACTAAGTGCTAATGAAATAATACTTGCTTTGGAATAAAGATTCAACAATTTCTGTGTCAATTATCTTACTAGAAGTTACTATCTTATTCTAATTGTCTTATAGAAGTTTTGACAGGATGGTTTTATGGGCCTTTTGCATTTCAGGGTGCAATTTGCCTGAACATCTCAAAAGGTGTCTGTGTAGTATTCTGTGATTAAAGAAGAGACAAAGAATTCTGCCATTGGTTTAACTGGGTCTGGAAGCTAAAACACCACATAACCACTTGCTCACTGCCCCCAGTGGAATGGGGCAGAGAATCAGCAAAAATGTAATACTCACAGGTTGAGATAAGTACACTTTCATAGAAGAGAAAAGGAAAGGAAAATAATAATAATAACAACTATAAAAGAATATACTAAAGTTCACTGTCTGCTCACCAATGCCAAGCCAGTTCCCAAGCAGTGGCCTAATGTTTTGTTCTTAAATAAACCCATGTAAGATCATGATGATATTGATGCTAGCAACTAATAATTCTACTTTATATCACATGTGACTATCAAGAAGCACATTCATTTCTAGGGAATTAATATGCAAATTTTAATTAGAAGACTTCCTCTTACCTCAGAGTTTTCATATTTATAAAAAGTACTTTTTTAGAAGAATAGAATTTTCCCCTCCCAATTTCTGCCAGATATTTCTTTGTGCTTGTTATTTTGCCAAAGTACAGCTCCCAGAGATAAATTATTATATAGGCTACATCTAATCCTCTGTCCCCCAAAAACCTACTAAATATATTTCTGATTGTGCAAAAACCTGGTCAAAAAGAACTCCTTAACTATAAATTAATTTTAAATCCATATATTTGCAAGTCTGATTTATAATTTCTTAAAGAAGTGGGCCTATCTCTGTTGTGTTGCTTTGCTTTCCTTTAAATGTAGCGCTGTGTTACTAACAGCATTTTTTTTTTGTAAACGTGAGAATGCACAGCTTGTTGCTGACAGTATCCAGTGGATGTGTTGTGCTGCCTTCTCAGCCAGTGGGGTACACTTTGTAGGGGACTGAGATGTCACAGGAGATGTTGAGAAAATGGTAACATAGTTCTAAAAGTGTAAAAACTGCATTTGGATTCATGTTAATTTCATGTTTCTCTGTTCTTTTGTTTTGAAACACAGATTGTTCCCAGCCATTGCCCAAGCTGCCTGTTATGAAAGTCAGGTTGCATGTCTTAGGGATAGTGCCAAAGCTGTGGGGAAGCTTTGTGTACTCGCATGGATGTTTGAAAAGCGTGAGGAAGATTGTGTGCCAAGAAAACTGGTCAAGGCTGGCATCTACAAAGGCCCAAGGGATTTGAAGAATATTATAAAGAATGATAACAATAGTTTTCAAAACAAGGACAAAACCTCAGGGGCTGAAAGAGCTGAAATTACTCAGTTACTTTAGGTTGAATTTATTGCACTCCAGCCTGCGGAAGGGTTTTTGTTGTGGCTTCTCCATTCCTCCTGCCTTTAA